AGTTTTTTAGAAAGTTCCATGGAGTGCTGAGAAGAAGGTATATTCTTTTTTGTTTGAATGGAATATTCTGTAGATGTCTGTTAAGTCCATTTGAGTCATAACATCTGTCAATTCCCTTATTTCTCTGTTCATTTGTTTTGTCTGACTGACCTGTCCAGTGGTGAGAGTGGAGGGTTGAAGTCTCCCACTATTAGTTTGTGGAGTTTAATGTACGATACGCTTTATAAGTATTTCTTTTACATATGAGGATGTCCTTGTATTTGGGGTATAGATTTTCAGTATTGAGATTTCCTCTTGATGGATTTTTCCTGTGACTAATATGAAATGTCTTTCTTTGCCTCTTTTGATTGATTTTAGTTTAAAGTCTATTTGTTAGATATTAGGGTAGCTATACCCACTTGTTTCTTAGGTTCAAACCCTTTACTCTGAGGTGATGTCTGTGGTTGAGGTTGAGGTGTGTTTCTTATATGTAGGGTTAAGCCAGCCCCTTAGGGGGTGGGCTTGCCTCGGGCGAATGTTTTCTTATAAATCGCGCACCCCTTCTGCTTCCTGTGCTCCGCGGGAACCTTGGTCCTGTAAGCTTATTTCTTCATTAAAGCTGTATATATTCTTTACAATCTGCCTGCATTCATTTACGCCGCTACACTTATAGTTACTTATATGCAGCAGAAGGATAGATTCTGTTTTCTTATCCAATTTGTTAGCCAGGACAGACAGGAAGGTACCATGAATCTCCTGTCTGAGACATACGTAGATCAGATATGCTGAATCTTTCCTGGTAAGCCACGACCTCGTGGTGACATACAGATTATTAGAAATGGGTTGAATCAAGATGTGAAAGTTAGTTAATAAGAGGCTAGACCTAATGGGCCAGGCAGTGATTTAATTAATATAATTTCTGTGTGATTATTACGGTTGTAAGCTAGCCTAGAGGGACCAAAAGCAGGCCTTCTCTCCTCATAACATTCATTGTCTCAGGTCTGTTCTGGTCTAGGTTGCTGACTCAGTCCTGTTTCCATAAATGAGCCTGGTCTGGATCTGCTCCCCTTCTCGCAGAGTTTACTGTCTCAGGCCTGCTCCGGCCTAGGTCACTGGCTCAGTCCTGCTCCTGTGGAGTTCGCCATTATAGGCCTGCTCTGGCCCAGCTCAGTCCTGCCTCCACAAATGTCCCTGGTCTGGATCTGTTCCAGGTCCCATGGAGCTCACCCCTTCAGGCCTGCTCTGGCCTAGGTTGCTGGCTCCAATTTCTATTTCTTAAAGAGTACAGAGATAATATGTATTCTTTGTTATTAGATATGTTTTACTATATCTTAAAAATAGCCATTAACAAATATTCTTTTAATATCTGCACCGGTTTCAGTTCCTATTCAGGCCTTCTGTTGGAGTTTCTGCCCTTTCTCTTTATGGGAACACTGTGTGGAAATAGCTTTTTCTGAAAACACCTCTCACCTTCAGAAACTAAATTTTGGCTGCACCTTGCATCCAAGTTAATGATATGCCTTGAGACCTAAACAATGTACTCAATCTGTCCTGCTTACTCAGTTGGTATAAATTTAATCTGCCTTTAAGAAACAACATAACCAGCTTTACTATGCCTTGGATTTTACATGTAATCAGTTTTATAATCTAATCTAAATCTAAGATTTTATAATCTAATCTAAAGCTAAGCTTTATCCTTAAATTAGATATTCTTCCATGTTCTTGATCCAAAATAATGTATTCCATGGAAACCATTTGCTGAAATCTATCAATAAGTTGAAAACAACCTTAAAGTAAACAAAGCACCCACTGTAAAGGTTGTAAGCAACCCTTGGCTATAGCTCAATAACATCTGTTCCTGGCTTTTAAATGTTATTTTTGTCATTAGGGGTCATAAGGTAAATTTTTTCCTTGCAAAATCTGACAAAAATGATGAAGAGATTCCTCATTCCTTTCTCGTGTTGTGTTTTTTTTTGTGCAGTTCAACACATATTAAGAACATGTTAGGGACAGACAAGACACACAGATGGAGGACGTGAAAAGAAGTGGAAAATTCAAAATTGGGTTCCCCCTAAGCTATTCAATGACTCTTATTTCCTTGGGTGTGGCACTGACACATTCTGAGATTCTTTCTTTCATTACTTGGTAATTTTGGTTATAAATGTTGTCTTCTTCACTGTGCTGTCTGCTATCTCACTTTCAGTACATTTAGCTTTTATTGTTTCTTCATGGATTTCACACATGTATCCTAGTCCCACTTAACTCTCCATCCCCTCAAATCTGCCCCTGCCCATGGAACCTTCCCCCAAGACAAAACAAAATTTAAAAGAAAATCAAAACCCCCAAACCAAAACCAACCAACCAACAACAACCATAGAGAAGACTCTCATCGTGGAAGCTGTAGTGTGGCCCATTGACACACACAGTTTATTTACCCTTTAGTCCAATCAACTTTACTTGTAAGTATCCAATGCCATGAGTCATTGGTCTTGTTTAAGGCCGCTTGCTTCTGCTGCGTTATCGATAATGGTCTCTCATCAGGGTTCCTCTTTGCTATCCTGTTGTTGCCCTATGTCATGGATTTCCTGCTGTTTTGAATCTGAAGGTTTGTCCCCTTCAGAAGTTCCAATGGTTCATAGATGAGATGGGTGTTGAGGAGAGCTAACTCAGCCCTGGTTGTGGGCCTGGCTGGTAGCTGGGTTGGTCACTGGACCAGCTTTCCCTCATTGTCTTTACCAAGGTGAGTAGTACATTTCAGTGTGAAAAATTTTACATTCTATGTGGTGTTATCTACTTAACTTTTTACTTAGAAGATATGGGCTTTGCAATAAGTGCTTTAGCAAGGTGTTTCCACATAATGAATAAGAAATCAATATGTAGCATTATAGTGATTTGTAGGCAGAGGCTGTTCATTCATTTCCGGTTGCCCATACTATTAATTGAAACATTGCTTGGCCTATCACTGAGGTGTATTGCTAGCTAGCTCTTATATTTTAAATTAATCCATCTCTATTAATCTGTGCAATACCATGAGGTAGTGGCTTACCATCATGGTTCTGGCACATTCCCATGAGCATCTTTCTCCTTCAGCAGCTACATGGCATATCTCTGACTCTGCCTACTCTCTCTATATATATCTCTTCCAACCTGATTATATTCTGACCTGCTATAGGCTGAAGCAGCTTCGTTTATTAACCAATGGTAGTAAAACATATTCACATATCTACAGAGGGGAAGCCTAAATCAGTGATCTTGTAGTTTAATAGTTATTTTCACAAAGATTTTGAATCATTTGTTGAGTAATCTGTCATTTCTACCAAATTTTCAATATCAGTTTAACATTAGAATACTGTTTACATTCAGGTTTGTCGGTTTGCCACTGAACCCAAGTATGATGTATTCATTCATTTTTCCCTTTTGGGGTAATTTATCATTACATTATTATTATATCACATCTAAACATCTAGTATAATAGACAGATCCCCACTGTTCTCTTTCTCCAAGCTAAAATATATAAAGTGTATCTTCACTAAGTTAGATACTTTTAAGCACTCTGTGGTAGTACTAACTATATCTATATTGTGAAGTTGTCACCATTCCCCTCCAGAACTCTTCATTTTGTAATGTTTTATGTGGACTGCATGTTTGTGTCTGGGTCATTTAGCTATCTTCAATGTTCATCTACCCATGGCTAGCTTTTATTTATTTTTTATTAAGACTGAGTATATTCAATTCTATACACAGGGCACATATTGCATAATTGTTAGTCTCTATCTGGAAGATACTGTGCATATTGTTTCTATGAATATAAATGTAGAAATCTCTCTTAAAGAAACAGTTCCCTACCTTTGAGTGTATGTCCAGGAAAACTGTGAGTCAAACTGGCAATGTTAAGGTACTATGAGAATTCAGTATTATTCCCAGAGAGGCTGTGCCCATCTATAGTGTGACAAGTGGCACATAGGGATTCCGTTTCCTCTACTTGCTTACTAACAAGTGGTGTTTCTGTTTTCCTGAGTCAGTGTGCTCATTCTGCTGAATACAAAACGTGATTTCTTTTCTACTTGTTGTCTTCTATATTTTGACTTTCATATCCCTGGGAATCACTGATCTTAGACAAATTTCTACATGCTTATTTGGGTCATTTGGATGTCTTTTCAGATCTGTTTTAAATTTTTTGTTGTTTGAAAAATCATGTTTTATTAGTTTTAGGAAAATTATCTATATATCAATATCTTAAATGTATAGATTGAAAATATAGCCTCACTCCACAGGTCACATTTTTTAGTATGTAATAATATGATACACATTTTAAAAATGTTGTTTCTTTTCTTTTTCCTTTTTTTCTTTTTTTGGTCTATTTTTGCAGGTGTTCTTGGCATTAATTCCAAGAAATCAGCCTAGTTGGTAATGGAATTTTAGCTCTATGATTTCTTCTTTCAGTATTAAGGTTTTAAGTTTTATTTGTAGGCTGTGGATGCATTTTGAGTAATTTTCTCAGCATGGTTTTAGGTAAAGGTCCAACTTCCTTATTTTCCATAAATAGCACGTTGCTTGATGGTATTGTTTTAACCATTCTGCTCATCTTTTTCTTTTCTTTGGAGAGCTTAATCTAAAGTTAAGGTAATTTCTTTATTTTTTTCTTTAAGATTTTATATCTACACACAACTTACTTGTTCCCCACAAGATTTGTTTATGCCATTTTGACATTTTTTCTGTTTGCCTTTTCTGAACACTTAGAGTTTCCAGTAATTATTGTGTTATTTTTGATCTGTTTAGTATGATTTTTATAGTGAAGCACTTAGGTTCTTTTTCTTTGTGTACATTCTTTGGAAACTTTTTGTGAGTATCATAATGAGTACATTTAATCTTGGGAAGCTCCAACACTGTAGTCTGAGTTTGTACAAACTTCATTTTCAGAGAGCACAAAAGGTCTAAAGCTTTTAATATCTCCATTCTCATTCTTTTCAGTTTCTTGTGTCACAAAACTAAACGATTACTCTGAAAATATGCCATCTTACCTTACTAATTTCAGTATCTTCCATTTTATGTAGAATTCCTTTGGTCCGGAAAGTCTTGACAATTTCTCTAGCCATATTGAGCATGACATTAATCTCCTCCTTGGTTTTCATTGTGACAGCAATTTCTGGATGATCATACTCTAAGTAGCCTGAAAAACAATGCAATATTTTCAGATAAAATGAGAAAATAGCCTTAAGTGTTTGTGAGGCTAAGAAGCTAACCCCTTCTCCTCTAAGTCAGCAAAGTTCAACCTTCACCACAGGGGCATGGATCCCCCTCTCTGGCCTGCTACCATCAACCCCTCACCAGCAGATTCTGGGATTTTTTTGGATACACCCACACTTGTGCTAAGCCCATGGAGAAAGGATGGAAAGCCCTATCCCTATAACCTATGAATGGTTACACTGGCCTGCTGTCCATGGGTTCTGCAAGCATGCTTGGGGCCATGTGTCTGGTGTTCAGATCCACTTTCTTGTCCAATTTAAAACAGGACTTTTGACTATATACTACATGCTCAGCTGTGGTATCTGATTAAGTCCTACAACTTTTCCTGGGTTATTTTCCTCATGTCTTGTTGGCGAATTGAGAAGACACATCCTTCTGTACCTTTCTACTTCTCTTCTCTGCATTCTGAGATACCCATGTAAACGTCACTCGTTCACATGGAACGTGTGGGCTTTCCCTTGGTCTTGCCCTCTTCTCTTCCCTGTGACTAGTTGCCCTACTGCTCTCTCTAGCTTCATGTTTAGGTTCTCTGTATTCTTTGTTGCCTGCCACTTCCTGCCAATCCCTGCCTTCACATGTGAGCACTGTGTCTTCACATGTGAGTACTGTGTTTTCACATGTAAGCACTGTGTCTTCACATGTGAACAGTGTCTTCCCATGTCAGCACTGTGTCTTCACATGTGAGTACTGTGTTTTCACATGTAAGCACTGTGTCTTCACACGTCAGCACTATGTCTTCACAAGTGAGCACTGTGTCTTCACATGTGAGCACTGTGTCTTCACATGTGAGCACTATGTTTTAACATCTGAGCACTGTGTTTTCAGCATGTTTGTTCCACTCAGGATTTGTCCTCTACCAGAAGTACAGCCTGGCATGACTCAGAGATGATGCTCTTGCCAGGTGGCCATTGAGCCTTCCGTGCTCCTCAGAGAAATCCTCAGGTTCTGATACAATCCATAAATCCTGAATCTCTCTATGGCAATATTCTTTGAGCCGCTCAGAAAGGTACAAGATATATCTGGTTTGGAAGAGACAAAAATTGATAAAGATACAAATGATATAAAGAATCATGATGTGGTAATGTGGGTTATTTGAACACACATTAAAAACCTTTATTGTGTCTGAGAGAAAGTGTAATGAAAGTGTAATAGTATTCTAATATATTTATTATATGCTATATTACCTTTACAGTAATATTACACACTAGAAAGCACAATTCTGTGGGTTGTTTAAGTTTACCATGTTACTACTAAGAATTATGGTTTGGGGGATAGAGATGGCTAAGTGGTTACAAATACTTACTGCTCTTGAAGAAGACCAGTGATCAGTTCCCAAAACCCACATGGGGGCTCACAACTGTCCAACTCCAGTTCCAGGGAATTCTACTCCATTTTTCTGCCTCTTGTGGAAGTGCATGGATATGGTACACAGGCGTGCATGTAAACAAAACACTCATGCACATATAATAAAAACAAACATTTATGAAAAAGAAGTAGGTTTCTTTGTAGATTTTTGGTTCTAAAATCCACTGCTCTTCTGACATTGTCATGGTAAGAGAGGGTTAGGTTGCAAGTTTAGAGGGAAGTACCTACCGAGCTCTTTCATAGCATGCTCCATGTTCCTCACTACCCGCTTTAACAATATCTATAGAACAAAAAAGACGTTGTCTCTGTTGGAAAAATAAGCCATTACAAAAGAGCTTTACATTTGTAACTGATTTTTAATCTAGTGGGATAACTTAATTAAAATGCACAACGGAGCATCTGGAGAGATGTCTCAGCTGTTAAAAGAACCTGGGTTCAATTCTCAGAGCCCACAAAGCAGCTCACAACTGTCCTTAAGTCTGGTTCTACTGACCTCCATTAGAACCCAGTACTCACATTGTGCACAGACATACACATATGCAAAACACATACACGTAAAAGAGAAATAAATATTTTTATGCATGATGAAGAATGTCTTAAGGGTCAGGATAGGATTGGGGCAACGTGCTTTCAAATTAGAGACACAGGGGTGGTTTTCAATCTCATAGGCATAGGAAATTAGACCAAAGTGTATGAGAACTGAAATCATAACAAACACTGGTTGATATTTTAGAAACCCAAGTCTTTTATATCCTATTGTTTGCCCTCTTAACTCCCATTGCTAGGTATTAATCATGAGAGATGGTGAGCAAACTTAGGGAAATTGGCTTACAGTTGCAGGGAGCAGAAAGGAGAAATGCTGTTTATGTGTTCTACCATGAGATGGGTGTACAATATTTTTACTGTGCTTGTGGCATATAAAATTTGGCATTCGGGTGTTACAAATTACGTTGAAAGGCAAATACTGAATTCCACCTAGCTGTCAAACTTCTAGATATGTACAGACATTAATATGCTTCAAACTAAGAATGAAAAGAAAAAGAAAAGGAATTTAGGTCCAAGGGTGTGTTTGCCACCTATTTGTTGTGGCGGTATAGGCATGATCAAGCAAATCTCTCTTGGCCCCATTTCTCATCGGCAAGAGTGCATGTGACTGGGCCCCTGTAGGTAACTCTTGTTTTCCTTACTCCTTTCTGTCTGCCGCCCCACTGGCCTCTCTTTCCCTTACTTTTGATTTGGGTCAAAACCAGAAAATGGAAAGAAGTGGAAAGATCTTTGGAGCACGATGAGGAAGCTCTGCTCAGCTCTGTGGCCACTCCCCCCCCACTATTTCCTGAATGATCCTGAGAGATTTGGGCACTGTGCATGGATGCAACGGCCCCTCCCAAGACCCCCCTTGTGTGCTAATATGGCACAGGCTTTCTAGTTAAAGAAGGTAAGTGGTGTAGTAACAGAAATAGACCAGCAGCTCAGGAGTTAGCGACTACACCTGGGTGCAAAGACACCGGCCAAGGCACGTGACGGCAGTAGGGCAGTGAAGGACGTCAAGGTTTCTCCTCATGCTTGGCTTTTTCTCTCACCTGTTTCGCTTGTTTGGAACTTGCAATGTGATCGATTATATTCAGTACATCCATTTCCCCTTGGACATAGCCTTTGAGTATAGAATACCGGAAGGATATCTGATGGCTCAACTTTTTGTCTATTATTTGCAGCAGCTTTGGTGTTATGAGCTAAAAAGAAGACTATTATTAAATACTAACCGCATATTTTTTTTTGTTTATGTTTAGCTTAATTTGGCCATTGCTTTCTCTGACTTGCTAGGGGTGCAAGAATGAGCCCTTAGCTTCCGCTCCAGCTGTCATACCGCCGCCCCTTCCAAGACAGACTTTTGTCCCTGTGAAACCCAAATAAACAGTTTCTTCTATAAGTCTCCTTGGCCACGGTGTTTTATCACATCTGTAGGAACGTGACTACTGTGCTGCTGCTTTGCACCCATCCTGCTCTATGACATAGAATGTGTCCATGCCTTGCCATTTCCTCTGGCAGCTTGCCAGCCCCTCATCTATTTAGTAGACACTGTATACCTCACATTAGAAAAAAAATGAACTATAAACTTTGGGATACTGTAGACTTGCTATCCTCGGATTACATTGTGTACGAGTGTTATTCATTGTCTCACAGAAGACTACAGAAGTAGATAGTAATAATTGGCTACTTTAGGTCTCAGAAGCAAAAGCTCTTTTTAGGTATAATGTATAATCTATATTGTATAAGAAAGACACAAACGTTGTATGACTGTTTCCCTACCCATACATCCTCATATGGGGTATCATGGAAGAACTTTCCAATCACTTACATAGTCATATAAGAAACAAGTGGCTGCCATTATACACGTGAAAGCAACATTGATTAGACATGTAATTTTTGACACCAAAACATTAAATTTACACAATATGAAATGTGTACTACTTTAGTTCTTGATCTCTGTGAATATATACTATTGGCTTTGTCGTTGTGGATTTTTTTTGTGATGATTGTTTTGATTATTTCCATTTTTTAACTCCCAGTTAACTATACAAAGAAGTATTACTTAGACTGCACTAGGATTTACACAAACATGTTTTTTTTAAAAAGATTTCTCTATTAAATGGAAAAACTGTGATATATGTCTATAGTTCCATGAGCAAAACGGATTTATAATATAATTTGAATATTTGAAAATTTGACTTGTTATATGTAGCTAAAAGCTCAGACTTGACATCAGCCCACCAGCAAATGTTTTCTCTGAAACTGTTGAACTGACTTTCAACAGACATTTTTTGACACCAAACTCACAGAGGAAACCAAAGCCATGTTTTTGACTTGCACTTTACCTTCAAGATGCGTGGTATACGAAGGAGTCGAATGACGTTCATGAAGACCACAGTCTCACTTAAGTCAAAATTATAATTAATGGAGTTTGTTTCTCTAAGTATTAAATCTATGATGCCAATTAAGGTAATCCCCAGCTCAAACAAGAACCAGGTGTGTGAAAAACATTTCTTCCTCAATGCTGCCATCTGTTGAGAGACGAAGAAATTGCATCATATTTTCTGCTTTTATTAAACAGGTTTCCCCCCATCCACAACAAGAAGGTAAACGTTATCAGTTGCTCTGCCTGTGACTCTGTATGTCAAAAAATACCACCAACACGAAAGAAAGCACAGGATGCTCCTAATGCCATCCCGGAGAGAAGAAAAACTGCTAAGACTATTGATGTTGATGTAGGCTCAATTGTACAGCACATTTATCAAATACACTGGAGTTGTCACGAGACAGCAGTTGGGGGGGACAAGACAAATGCACAAACATCCTCTGTTGGTGTTCCTTAACTTCAAACAGCTCTAAATGCCAGAAGAATTCTAAAGTCTCTATTTTATATTATTTAACTATATCAAATGTGTGATGCTGAGTGGTAAAAAATCATGCGCAAAAAAACCACACACACACACACACACACACACACACATAAACATATTTGTAATTCACATGAGATAGATTTTATTAAATCAGTTCAAGAGCTAAAGATTCAGTGAAATGATGTCTTCTATTCTATTTTGTTCTGTGATGATATAAATTAAAAGTCACTTTTAATATTTTGAAAATTTAAGTGAATGTAAATATTTTATCAAAACTGCCTTGGTACTTGCACCAATGCTTTTATTTCAGTGCACTGTAAAGATAACAGAAGGCATCATATATGGCACATGCTCAAATACGTACATTTCAGAAATACTTTCATCTTATTTTTTCAAACCATGCAGTCTGCCTTAGAGTATTCGAACACAAAATAGCCTCTGTGGGTTTTGTGTGCTTTTTATTTTATTTTGCTATTTTTGTGTTATTAATTTTTGTTTGATTTTTCATCTTTTTTGAGGGGGTAGAGAACATGAAATGGTTTGGATACGGCAGTCGGTAGGATCTGGGAGAAGTTCAGGGAAAGGAAAGAATGAGATAAAAATACACTGTGTGAAAAAACGTCTTAAAAAGACCATTACTAGTACAGTTTAAACTCTACTCTGCACTATTTTGACCTGCATCATTTTATTTTGGCAATTGCAGAGTCAGTGCTTAAAGCATCCATATTATCTGATGTTGCTCTCAACATCACCTTTTTAACTTAAATTTGAAAAATTTGTGAACTCTGAGAAGACACAGAGAAGCTCACAATACTCGCTGAGAAAACTCTAATTGTTGTGGACACGTGTCTCCCATAACATACTCATAGGCATGGATTTTAGATTACCTTAAGTAGAGCCTCTAGAAAGTAAAAGACAAGGAAATAGTAGTTAGCACACTTTATTTCATTTTCATAGATGGCATTTATGCGGGATATCCAACAGATTGTCATAGGAAATATGTTCATTAATACAGCAAGGTATCCAATGTATTCAAATTCATCTGTAAAGACTATTTTATAGCATACATGATGAAAGAAGTATCTGCAAAAAATAAAAAGAAAAAACAATTTTATCTGAAAAAAATTACATGAAATGTTTTTCTTTTATTTGATCAGTTCTGTTTAAGTTAATGGGAGCCAGAGAGCCCTGCTGAATCTAAGTACTAGCCTTACTAGCTAACTATTAGGGCCTTGAACAAATCTGATGATTAGTGAGTGATTTTTTTTTTAAGTTTCAGTGGAGATTCCTGGTGTGGGAAAATCAAGCTCTTCCTAGAAGTCACAAGTTTTTTAGCGACAATTCTCGTGACAAGGGCAGGCTCCCTTCCTATGAACTGTTGGCATGGAGTTCCTTCAGAACCTCCAAACAATAAAGGCATTTTTTTTACTGCTGTTGCTGGCCTTTCAGACTAGTTAGTAAGATCCACAGCACACAGAGAAGTCAAGCTGAAATGGAGTGGGAAGTTTCCTCCCTGCTGGCTAGTCCCCATGCCTTCCGAGGACAGCATGAAGGATGGGGAGATTGTCATCTCCAGTTTTGCTCAGCTGAGGATACTGTGTAACAGTGCTGTCTGGGCAGGCCAGAGGAGCTCACTGGAAGAGCTGTGCTAAGTCTGTCACAGGGATGAGCAATTGACTTCTGATTGGATCTGATGCTCATGCCACACGCGGGAATTCATGTCTAATATGGACAAAACGTTTGTGACTGGGGAGACAGGAGACTCTAGTGGAGAAGCTAATGCTCTCTGTGTGATAAACCGGCATGAGGAACCCACCCAAGCTACTAAAGAGCCATGTTTATGCCCACAGACTAGTGCTATCGTCAGCATTGACCAGAGAAGTTTCCTTTAGAATTTGCACAGAGAGTAAATGTCTGATAAATGTCCAATCACAAAGGGGGTATCTTTATTACCCTTTGAGAGGCTCAGGACATCCTGAAAGAAAGGACAGGGAAAAAGGTGCAGCAGTCAGAGACAACAGGGAAAGCAATGCAGGACACTGACTTCCAGGTCTAACATGGTTGCTTCATTCTTGAACTCAAAGCAGCTTTAATTGCAGAAGATCTGCAAAAGACTAGACTGTCAACATAATGTAGAGTCTAGAGTCTAAGGGCACCTCTTTCCTGTGGGCATATATGCAGTTAATAGCTGATGGGAGAATGAGAGGAACATTTTCTTTAGTGCTGTATCCACTAGTAAGTAGCAGACCACAGACCTTCTAGCTGTTAGGAAGTCTCACTGACTTTTGCCATAACCCTAGCAATCTTTTTCTTTACAGATGTCTCAAGAACCATATTTTCTCATCATGGGAGTGGGCATTTACAGATACTAAATGCCAAATGTAGAAGGTTTGCAGACAGAACTGTTTGATAGGCTATTAGCTAGGCCCATTGTTCTTGCACATGCCCCTTATCCAGTGATATCCTGGGATCTTTTAAAATACCTGCTCCATCCAGAAATACAAGCCAATGGAATACATCCAAGTCTCACTGGATGAGATTAGCCCACCTTTGGCCAATTTTGGGGGATATAATATCTTTCTGCTCCCCATTCTTGCATAAGGGCCCTAAAAGAGCTAACTTTTCTTTCTCTGAGTGAGTTGAAGCCTTTCCTTCATCCCACCCCTCTGTCCTGATATCTATTAAGCATTTGACTAGATCTATCAATCTCTTTCAAACCCCACTTCTTCAAAAACAAAAGTTAGGTGCAAATGGTCCTCTAAACAAGCTCCTACCCATGCACCTGCAAAGAAATTCCCACTCATGTTCAGGTAATCAACTGTGCTGGCTAGCTTTATGTCAACTTGACACAAGATAAGGGTCGTTTGAGGAGAGGAAACCTTAGCTGAGAGAATGCCTCCACCAGACTGGCCCACAGGTACATTTTGTTGATTAATGACTGATGATAAATGTGAGAGGGTCCAGCCCATCATAGGTAGTGCCACCCCTTGGGTAGATGGGGTTGTGATGTATGAAAAAATAGATTGAGGAAGCTATGCATAGCAGTCAGTAAACAGCTTTTCCCCACAGCCTCGGCATCAGTTTCTACCTCCAGCCTCCAACCTTGAGTTCTTGGCCTGACCTTCCTAGATGATGAACTACAAGCTGAAACATGAAATGAACCATCTCCTCCCCAAATTGCTTTTGGTCATGGTGTTTGATCACAGCAACAGAAACCCTAACTAAGACAACATTACTGAAACTCATGTAGGGACACAGACAGACAGACAGACATTAAAGTAGTAAAATGACTGAGTAGTTTGGAAGAAGAGTTTGGGGTGAAAAAAGAATGTAACAGGGTAGAATGTGTATGTGTATTAAAATGTCACAATCAAACATTATTGTGTCTAATTAACATGGTAATTAGATATTAACTAGACATTTAGCACAGTAGTAGTATGCTTGCCTAGCATACACAGCATACACAGCATGTTAAGAAAACAAAATACGCCAGTCTACAAAATATAAACAAAATGTTATTCTTATATCTTTTTAAAAATAATATTTGTATTTATGTAAAGAATTAGATTTTAATCTACTTCAAAATAGTTTGCAAAGTATTTAGGTTATAATTTGAAAAGGAACTAACTTTCGGAAGTTAGCATCACATCTCTTATTCTAGGTTTGCTCACCTCGATGGAACCCCTTTATCTTTTTTAGTATTATATACCCAGTTGAGTAGTAATTTTCTAAGGAAGGAGAGGAGTTTTTTGCCTTCAGAATAACTCTTTAAGTTCTCAGGACTCATATACCTACAAATATACAGAGAAATCATTCAATATGTTTTAAATACTTTGACAGAAGTCCAATGCAACACTGTCAGAACACAGAAGGACTATTTTGTGCAATAATGACTAAGCAAGATGTTTCATAGCATAGCCCCAAGCCCTGAATTGTAGATATACAAGTGTGTCATCAGGTTGTGAGACCAAGTCATTGAAAGGAGTCCAGATTATTAGGGATACATATACTAAGATCTAAAGGTCCAGGGAGAAACAGTCAGCCTTCTTTCAAGTATTTGTCACCTAGATTTTTATTTCAGATGCCCTCATCTGTTATGGCAATGAAGAAATGATCTACCTACCATTCTTGTTCGTGGAGATAGAATGAGCTATGTCAGGCGGGGATAACTGAGCAGTACATAAAACATCCATCGCCCCTCATACAGGATTCCCTTCAGACAAGTAGTTGGGTTTATGTAATTACAAAACGGTAAACGTTAACTTGGAGAGGTCATTCTTATAAGAGACACAAAGGCAGGTTGCCAGCACTTACCAGAAGCTGCTAAAACAGATTTCTTTTAACTTTTGTATTGAAACAGCTCCAATCTGTGAGCAGTGGCTTGGTTTTTCCTTAGCAAGCCCTCTTGATTTGATAAAGAGCTTATCTTTACCAGGTATTTCATTGTCTTTATTGAAAAGTTCACCCTGCTTTGCGTCCTAATGTGTCGTGTTGCTTACTTGAAGAATATTGGAACCCTGAGTGCCAAGACTGACTTTGTTTTTCCTCTTGATTAGTTTGTCTCACCCTGAAATCCATGTAATTCTTTTGTTCTAGATATGTTGATCTCGTTGAGAATAACGAAGTCATTAGTTTTGCAGGATTTAATATTATAAAGCATTTACATGGAAATTCTTCAAAGTCTATACAATCCAATTCATCTTTAAGTTATAAATAGTTATTGAACTAATCTAAAATGGTTGTTACATACTACAGATAAACTGTGAAGAAATACTGATTTCTGTCCTTAAGGGTCCAGTAGATCGATGTGTTGAAACATGCAAGTCACCACTTCTATAACTGTTGTCATGGAGATAATAATAGGAAACTCTCTACAGACAAAGTGGACATATAAACCAAGTTCTGGAGAATTAGGAACCCTTTTTAACAGAATTATTATCTTAAAGAAGATCTGGAAATTTACAGGTTCTTATGAATCCTAATATTATGTGATCCCAGACCACTAATTACAAAGTCATCAATCACTAAGGCAAAAGCGAGATGTCCGGAGGACTGAGAGGGAATGGATACAAGGGAGTCAACGGTGGGACCAGGAAGGAGCACAGAGGGCCTGAAGGGACAATGTGGGAGGTGGTCGTGACATATGGCAATTTTACTCACACGCACAGAACACATATTCAGTATCCACATGTCAGGCCACATACTCGGTAGCTCAGGCACTTAGATTTCCGTTTCATGTGAACATGTTCACCACTGACACCTCACTTGGAGAAATAGTGTTGCTCTGAATCCCAGCTCTGCGACTTGTTAGATAAATAACCTCAAGTAAGCTAGTAAACTTTTCTGTCCTTCACATCCTTCCAGTGCATCATGAAGATAAGAAGAGCATGTCTTTTAGAAACTTTGGTGAGGGAAAACTAGGAAATGCACAGAACATGTTCAAAGTGTTGTCTGGCACTCAGCAAGAACAAACAATGTATTCAGAGTGTTATTTCACAGGGTATTGCACAGGCCCTATGAATAGGTTCTGGTACCCTTTGCAAGTCTTCTGCATCTCCTATTCGTAGAGTTGTTTTTCTTACCCCAGAAAACCCCAACCTGTGGAGCTACTGAATGACTCCAATAAAGAAATGGCAAAATCAGTTTCAATGCCACCAAGGGAAAAAGCACACACTGAGAACAAGTGTGATCAATAGTTCTCTAGCAGTGGGAATATAGGGTCACTACTCTGATGCTGTCTTTAGGGCCTGGCATGCAATTTGGCATGCATTGCTACTAAATATGTGTCCCACATGTGTGAATACATTTTCACATGTCCCAGCAATCTCCTCCAGTCTGTTTGTGCTCCACCCTTGTGCCCACTGTTGACCCTGTCTTTGTGTCAATTCCCTCTGGGTCCTCTGGTCATGGCTTGCTTCTGCCTTAGTGCTTGATTAAAGATTAAAAACAAATCAAGTTGGCGTTTTGCTCTCTGATGCTTTGTTTTTGTCACTTTGCCTCTCCCAGACAATGGAGTGACAATGACTTTTTTATTCATTAAAATATTTCTGCTGGGCTCTGTATATATCTGTCTTCTCTACAGAGGACATTGCATTATTTCAAAAAGACATATCTTCCAAGCTCCTTCAATTATATGGAGATTATCCAAGCATTTGAAAGGTATGGGTTTAGAGAAAAAATGAATTCTGTGTTATACATTGAGATATTTAGATACATACTTAGGAACCCAAGTTTTAAGTAGCATATTCTTTATCTTCCTTCCTGGATATATAAAATGTCATAATGATTTACACAGACTGGCTGTAAATGAAAACTCTTATGCTCTTGGAAGAAAGTCTGTGCTTAAACTAAGAGTATTTATTGAGCATCTGTGTTCCTTATAGATGTCTGTGCTGCATGTGATGGATAAATCATAACTCTCTTCTCATATATAGTTTTTCTCTTTACTGTATTGGGTAGCACATGTGAATGGACATAAGATTGGTACATCACATTTAGGATGTATGGTCACCAAATGTGTCCCATTTATGTGGGATAATGAGCCAAGTGTACAGCTCTAAGCAGAATCTGAAAATGACCTTGGCATCATTTCAGCTAAATTTGAATTTCTTTGACATTAAGGGGGAGATCCAGATCTGGGAGGCATGTCTGGGCTTTGGGTAGACATGTCAACTGCACTGCATTTGAATTGTTCTCCTACTCCATAGATCTTTCATTCCCTTACTGAGGGCGACCTGAGCATGCTCCCCCAACTCAGCAGCTTTCCTTAGACAGTGGATCTAAGGAAATCAGTACCAGATTGAAGATATATGCTTAGTGTTGACAGAGGACATGTGGGGTCCGTCTGTGCTTTGGGAAGGCACACCTGGAGAGATTAAGGAACACTTGGCCTCTGTTCAGAAAGGCTAAAAGGACAAGTACTTCACTACTACAGTTTAGCTTTGCACATGGGAAACAAAGGAAGAAAAAGGGCTATTTCCTTCAGAAGATTCTTGCCAAATACTCCAGCCTGGAGGACTCAAGGTGGAAAACGGAAAGAAGGAGATTCAGTTTGAGGGTGGGGTGCAAAGCAGGGAGTGGTTTGCGCATGTGATACCAGATGGCCAAAGGTTACAACACACAGGCACGAAAACTCCTGCACACAGTGGCTGAGGGTCAAGCCCTCTCTTGGTAGTGTACTTACTCTCCCTTCTTCTCACCAAAGCTTCCGGCTGCACCTACCAACAACTGCACTGCATTCTGGGATAGGATCTCATTCCTGTATTGTCGTTGGTAGCTCGCCTGAAAGAAGTGTTGATTAAAATTATTTATATGCTTTTGGGCACAATGACAACTTATTCCCTCCTTAATAGAAAAAAAGGATGTGTGATAAAGAAATTAAACTCCCCAGATGACCTAACATGCTTGAAGAAAGAATCTTTCTACAGAATCTGGGTCAGTATGTCAACATAGCGAAGATCTGGGCCTTTGGGTAGAATAACCTGCTTCTGCGGGAAACTCTGGAACTTCTAGTCCTTGCCCATGATTCCAAAAAGTAGAGTTCAATGAAAAATAGCTCTGGGGTTGTTACAAGTTGTGTCCCACTGAGAAACTCCTGGTGGATATTAGAATATTAAGGGCATTTAGAAATACTGACAAATTAAAGTGACCTTGGTTCATCTTTTTTTTTTAAGCCTATGTTTCCAAATATTTCACAACACAACTCTGCTGGCTTCTATCTATTAGATGATATAGTCACCCCTTCATTGTGTTTATTGATGATCTGCTGAGCTTCAGCGACTGTGAGAGCCATCACCGGTTGAGTGGTACCTGACAGAAGCAAGCTGATGATGGTTGAGAATCACTGCATAGAATACATTTCTAAACTGAAATGTAGAATGTGATGGAAGGTTCCTGGGTCTGTAGTTGGCACTCTGTACACAACCAATGATGAGAGTACAACTCTTTTCCTCTTGGAGGGTACTAGAAGGATAAATTCACTAGCTGTAGGAATGAAGGATTTAAAAACTGCTCTTGGGGCTGGGGATCCAGCACTTGCCCAGCATGTAACGGCCTGGGCTTCATCCTCAGTGCAATTAAAAAAACATGTTTCAATAAGGCAGCAATCTTTTCTTTAAACAGCATAAAAGAACATAAAAATATATATATAATTAAAATATTATTATTAGCCTTAAAGTTAAAAATAGCAGTTTGTTGGGAAAAATTGATGAAGTTGAAAACAATATGGACACCATGAAATCTTAGAAATGTTAATAGCAAAGTGGCTAGAAACTAGAAAATATAAATTTTTAATCATTTTCACGAAACAGAAAACATAAAACAACCCCAGTTTATTCCACAAAGCAACTCTTCTTGAGTTAATTGGTCTATATATGTTTTATTTTGTGAAGAGTCTAGTCCATTCTATGTCTGGCAGATGCAAAGTTGCTTTTTCAGGACAATGTTAGAGATCCAGGTTTATCTGAATTTGAAGCCTTTCTTCCTGGATTCTGAATAACTCTCTCGTTACACTATACTTTCTTTTCTAGCGTATAACAGTAGAGAAGATATTCTTTCATTTAGTCAGAACTGGTTGAAATCTGAACAACAGTATCAAGTTTTGAAGATTACAAGAGGCCAGTTGGAATAAAGACTGCGGAGATGAAACTGACCACATGACAATAAACATGCAAAGAGGGATAAGGTGAAGAACGAGTACATGCATGCGCAAACTGAGGAGATTGAATCTGCCTTGAAAAAAAAAAAGATTTCTTGTTTAAGAAAACACAGCACAGAAGCCCAATATCAAAAATCATGGGTGAAACAGCCGTAATCAAACAGTTGAGGGGAGAAATAAAGAAGGTACAGAGGCTGTTGATTGTAGAAATCCCATGTTGAGATGAACAGAAAGAACTGCAAAGGTCACGCAGTCATCTTAAGTCCCCTCTTTATCACACGGGGAGAATAAAGAGTAAACATGTTAAGCTCTGAGTCACACACAAGAGTAATTAGAGAAGACCTTTAGTGGAGTCATCTGTATTTGTTTTGGGGTTCTGAAATGCTGTGTTTTCTTGAAATCAATCAAAAAAAAAATCTTGAAGTGACTTAAAACCATGGTCTTGTAAAATGCTACACACCAATGAAATCAAAATAAGTTGGCAAACATCTAAGTGGGTAAAGATGCTATAATTCATTTTATAAATATTAATTATAAATATATACCACTCTACTGCCTTTGTATAAACATTCACTAACTGGATACAGCTCTTGTATTTTAGGTCTGAAAAGAGTCTTTAGAAAATAAATGATCAAATGCTTGTCTACATCAGGGACATGAGCTACCAGGTCACGCTATACTTGTTCCATAGCTGCATTGAGATGTGTGCCGCTGCTGCTGGTGATGAATGTGACCATCACAAGCTAATAGACTTACTTAGAACGTTAGGAGGGCTGTGTGTGTGTGTGTGTGTGTGTGTGTGAGAGAGAGAGAGAGAGAGAGAGAGAGAGAGAGAGACAGAGAGAGAGAGACAGAGAGAGACAGAGAGACACAGAGAGATTTTTTTTGGTAACTTGATGGCATGACTCTTGAGTACGAGCTCTGTAGATGATAATGGCATTTTGCAATGTCAAAAGTTAAGGCACACCTAACTACTAAATCAATGAGAGGTAAATTGTATAGATGTTTTTGGTTGGAAATGTTGAAAATATCAGCAATAAATATAATAGCAATGTTTTGAAGAATGTGTATTTAAGAGGGTATATGTATAAAAAGCTGACTGTTTACAGAGTAAAGAAATTATTAGGGGGCTGGAGAGATGGATCAAAGGTTAAGAGCACTGACTGCTCTTCCAGAGGTCCTGAGTTCAATTCCCAGCAACCACATGGTGGCTCACAGCCATCTATGGTGAGATCTGGTGCCCTCTTCTGGCAAGCATACATGGAAGGAATGTTGTATACATAATAAATAAATAAATCTTTAAAAAAAGAAATTATTAGGGAGAATATAAAATTAAAGAGAAAGCCATGAGAAGGAAGTAAAATTGTTTTAGAACACTGAACTAAATTAATATTTATATACTCAGCCATTGGTACAGGGCCACATATGCTATTTTTCTTCTCTAAAAATAAAATTATAGGAAGAATGAGAAAAAGAAAACAATATATAATATATATTTATTATAAATTAGTCTATGGTAATGCTTTTAATTAGAAATTGGTAGCTAAATAATAATTCATAGTTTATGATAAAGTTATATATGCTTTTTTTTTTTGAGACAGTATCTTACTGTATAGACCAGGCTGACATGGAACCCACAGAGATTAGCCTACCTCTGCCTCCACAGTGCTTAAAAAAAGGCATGTGTCACCATGCCCAACTAAATATGCTTTTCAAAGTTAGCTTAACAGACAGAGGAACAAAAACACTGAGCATTTCTACATTAAAGAAGGAAAGAAATGTCAGGGAAGGGAATGCAGGGAAGTAAAAGCAAAAATACCAAGAGAGATGCCAGAGATGAAGAGACTTAAGATGTCCAAATAGCCTGACTGCTTTTTCTAATAAAATACAGACATTGCTCAGAGAGGTTTAAGTGAACAAATATTGGGTACCAACTATGCACCTCATCTTATGCTGTTTAGTATTACACATACATTATTAGATGTATTAATAAATCACAGTTGTTGGGATTTTGCTACTTTACTAGATTTACATGGAAGGGAAAATGAACTCATTAAAAAGTAAAATTTATTCTATGTCCCTTCCTAGAGAAATCCTCCCTAGATAGCTATGGATTGATGGGGATGGGAGAGAGAGTGGGGAATGGAATGGGAGGATGAAATGGGGAGGCAGAGGAATGAGGGACAGAAGGAAAGAGATACAGCTAAAACTAGGGGTCATTTGAGGGGTTGTATGGAAGCCTAATACAATAGAAGTTTCTTAAAATAATACTTAAGTGAAAGAAAGCTAAACAGAATCACCAAGTAACAGAGGAGACAGAATCCCAACTAGAAATCATTTGCCTCCAAAGGAAACCCAAAGTGCTGGTGATGAGTTACGTATAATTGAGTTGTTGGCCAAAGAGCTTTCAAATAACCCACCCGATGGCCAAGGCTATTGGTTGCTCTGCACAAAGTCATGGTAAAATCCCATACCTAACAACAACACTTACATAAATCAGTGAACACAGAGGAGCTGAGCCAGCTCCCACCTAGAGTCTTCCTTCATCTTTACTGACGAGTGTTCACGATCGTACAAGGTACTCTGCATGCCACTAGAGGCACTAGAGAGCTAATCACCAACCCAGCTGAAAGCACTGTGCTCTACAGGTGATGACTTGCCAGCAAGGGAGGCTGGGGCAACGGTGGAAGAAGAGAGGGACAGACTGTAGGAGCCAATAGGGATGGACCGACACCTGTGTGCACTCACAGAGATGGCGGCAGCAGGCACAGGGCCTGTGAAAGCCTAAGTCATGGTTCCAGCACTGAGAAGTGAAATGGACACAAGCCCCCATCCCTAATCCAGAAACTATCTCCAACTGGCAACCTCTCAAAAAGCAAAAATTAGTTTTCTTCAACAGAGAAAGAACTCCACTGGGTAAACAAAAGTGAAGGGCTCACCACAAACCCGGAAGTAGATGGCCAGCACAAAATGGACTCAATAGTATTTTGAGAGATATTTGTCCTCTAATTCTTTTTTTTTAAATATTTATTTATTATGTATACAATATTCTGTCTGTGTGTATGTCTGCAGGCCAGAAGAGGGCACCAGACCTCATTCCAGATGGTTGTGAGCCACCATGTGGTTGCCAGGAATTGAACTCAGGACCTTTGGAAGAGCAGGCAATGCTCTTAACCACTGAGCCATCTCTCCCGCCCCCCCTCTAATTCTTTATATGTGCTATTTTTTGTTTTTACCTTACAAGCCTTTTGTTTGTATACTATGTTTTCCAATTTGATGTTTATCTGGGATCTCTCTCTCTCTCTCTCTCTCTCTCTCTCTGTGCATGTCTACATCTATATTTATTTCTTGTGTTTTTCTTTGGATCTTTTTTTCTGTTTGTTTTGTCCTATTTCAGTTTGTTTTTATCGTAACTTATATCATTTATCATTATCATTATTATTGTTATATGACTATTGGTTTTCTAATGAGCTAGAGAAAAGAGAGGTATAGATTTGGGTGGGTAGGAAGGTGGGGATCTCGGGGGAGTTGGGAAGGAAAATTGTAATAAGAATACATTGTCTGAAACAAATCTATTTTCAATAAAAAAATTTTAAGTAAAATTTAATAATACAATGTAAAAAATTACCAGTATACAGTCTTTTTTTAACTCTGGGAAATAACGTGTGTATGCGTGTGCTCGCGTGAAGTATGTGTGGCAATAGGAATGGGGCAGAAACAGGTGTTGGTGGCAGCTGTGGGGTGGAAGCCCAATTGCAGAAACTGTGTGGTAAGCACATTGCTTGGAGAAACTGAGCCATGCAGCAAGGTGAGCATTGAAGATGATCAAGTGTGTCTGCCTGTATGTGAGCAGGCCATGCATCAAGGAGACACGCAGCAAGAACATGGCGGATGCTGAGGTTTGGGCTTTTAGGTGGCAGTCTCGGGATGCTGCTGACTTAAGTGAGGAGTGGGTGGCAGCTTTTCATGCAAAAGGGGAGGCTGAGCCAAACATTTGGAGAAGTAGGTTGGAAATAGTCTGCTGTCCTGATTTTAAGATAGTATACTGCATGAGCGGCATATTCAGATAGATATAGATTATACAGTTGTACTAGTGGCTGGTTTTTCCACAGCTTTTTCTGTGACACTGAAATGTTTCATTCTGGGAAGTTTCACAGAAGAAACAGGAAACTGACTTCTATTTCATAGGCCCTGTAACAATAGATGGCGTGCAGTTCCCCGTATGCCATCACATTCTTCTTCAGAGGTGGAGATGAACTCAAACGCCCTTTCTGATTCCCTAATCAAAGGGAACAGTCAGTCACCAGAGTTAAAACAAGTCAAACAGGGCAGGCCTGATCACTCAGAGTTAGGCCAGCGCCAGCCCTGTCTCCCTTCTTTCTAAATCCTCTACTTTGAAACCGAGGTTTGGTTGCTGTCTATCCTGTTCCGGTTTCCTTCTGACCTGCACTTGACTCTCATTTCTGCTGGCTTGCCTTCAAGAAAGTGCACTTCCCTGTCTTTACTTTAGAAGCAATTCAGACGTAATTCCAAGGCAATACCCTGGTGATTGACTTTTCTCCATTTACCAGGGTCCATGATCCCCTGGATCATAGCTTTCAAAGAGATGGAAGAGCTACAAAGCAACAGCAGCAGCAGCAACAACAACAAAGACCAAAACCCCTTCCCCCATGCTCACCTAACTGTGTAAGAGGCCATTCTTGCCCTTCAGGTGGGAACCCTTAATTTGCTACGACAAGTTTAAAGTCTGCAGGTGGGGTTGAGCATGAGACAGCCATGGCATTCACCCAGTGTGGGTCTGGTATTGCTATTTCCAAGTACTCGGGTTCGTGAGGAAGCCCAGTTTAAGAGAACATGTCTGCCTTGATTACAGACAAAGAGAGAAGACTCACAGCTTATAGATAACCCATTTCCCAAGCTGAATGAGCAAGCAGAGGCTTGGAATCCTGAATGGCTGTAATAGGTGAAAACCACAGATTATTCTATGTGTGAGAAGAATGAACGTGGTTGCTGCGGAAGGTTGAGTCACAGCCTGTGGTCAGAATTCTGACCTGGACGGAAAGCTGAAACTAGGCTGGAAGGAACTGCCCCAAGTCCTGTTCACTGCTGCACTACAGAACTGCCCTAATTTTAACTGAGATTTTGAGTTAAAGCACAAAAGTCTCTGTAAGTGTTACAACCCAGATGGGAAGGTGTCTTGGCAGCCCAGAGCCAAGGAATGACCTTGGTGTGACCACAGTGTCACAAGGCACAAACCTCACACAGGAGAGATTTGTTGGGAGGGAAATACCCAGGAGGGTAGCTGCCTCCGCAAAGGTGAGGAGCAGGAGAGAACTGTGCAGAACATGAGATTTATATAGGTTTTCTTTTGTGTCAGGGAGGCACTTTCCAGGGTGGCCTGGGATTTGGAGGGTTTATGTGGTTTGGCCTTGGAGCTAGATCAAGAGTAGGGATTTTTCTTGTAGGGTGGAGCCTGACCTCTGGCACAATTTGGGACTGGGAATGGTGGTTACCACCTTTAGGAAACAGCTGTTAGGACCCTTAGGGAAATTTCAGGGAGGCGCCTGGCCACTGGAGCTCCTCAGGTGGGGACCTGGCCACTTACATGCTTTGAGGGTTTACAACGTTTATGAAGTTACACGGCGGCGTTTACAAAGGGAGTGTCTGCCTGCTTGAGTTGTCATGAATAGCCCACAGCCTCTATCTGTGTTTACTGGAAGATATGGTAGAAATCTTTGGAAAATAACTGGACAGAAATCGTAGAGGACAGGGCCTTAGAGCCAGCTAAAGGCACCCATTTGCATCTCTGAAACTCTCAAATTAAACAACCTTTCCTTAATCTGTTTTGAATATCTTTCCTTCCTCCTCCCTCTCTGCCTCCCTCCCTCCTTTCTTTCTTCTTCCATTTTCCTCACTCCCTCACTGTCTCTTTCACTCTTCTCTCATTTCTCTCTGAATTCCCCCAGACACTGGTGGTGGATGTTGCATAGCATTCTTAGGTAGACAGAATCAAAATATATTGGGCAAGGGAAAATCTGCCCAGTCCAGTTTTGGGTCCCCAGTATTTTTTTTTTTTTTTTTCGAGACAGGGTTTCTCTGTGGCTTTGGAGCCTGTCCTGGAACTAGCTCTGTAGACCAGGCTGGTCTCGAACTCACAGAGATCCGCCTGCCTCTGCGGTCCCCAGTATTTTTAAAGGAGTTGCAGAAGAGAACTAACTATCTGTGCTGAGAGGAGACGCCTGTTGGCCAGCTCCATTGCTTCAATGTTGAGGGTCTCATCTATTTCCTTGTTACAGTCTGGACACTTCACCTTCTGATGCTCTGTTGTTTCTTCTTGGTTCAACTAATAAAACAAATGAAAAGAAACAAAAACTCTCCATGAATATTAATGTATTGTTTAGCAGAAATGTCTACAATCTCACATTAGATTTTTGGGGGGACATGGCAGAAAATCTGATAGATATATAAAAATATCTTAGTGCTCCACATTTGCTCAAGTGTCCAAACCATTGATTCAGTTCTAGGAGATAAAATAATTGCCAGGTGGTGGGGAAGGAGTTGCACCTTTCCTTTCTGTGAAATTCGAGAGCTTATAAAAGCTATCACATAGAAAGTCACACTTTGACTTAGTGGTCCTATGTGGTTTCCTCACAGCCTCAGCATCCCTTGGAAACACACATACTCTCATCGCCCACTGCAACAGAACTGGGGGAGCTGGGTAACAATCCCTACGTCTGCTGCTCTTAGAGATTGATGTTCACTGGTTTAAACGAATCATTTAAGACAGGAAAAAAAGTGATCATGAGTTTAAAAGATATGAATTTAGAAAATTTGCCAATGGAGTAAGCTGAAGTTCGGAGGAAATCATTCGCTCAAGCTGATGGAACAGACCTACAGAGACAGCCCTCTAATTCCAGCTACTAGGGCTGTGGTTCTCAACTTTCCTGGTGCCGTGACCCTTTAAGACAACTGTTCCTCATGACGTGGTGACCCCAACCATAAAATTATTTTCGCTGCTATTTCATAACTGCAATTTTGCTACTGTTCTGAATCATAAACTAGATATCTGTGTTTTCTAATGGTCTTAGGCAGCTCTTGTGAAAGGGTTGTGTAAACCCAAAGGGGTCATGATCTGCAGGTTGAGAACTATTGTACTGGAGAGACTAAGGCAGGAAGATGGCAATTCAAGGCTTTTGTGGGCTGCAGAATATGTTTGCAAGGTCGTTCTTCATGACTTAGGTTGGAGATGTAGCTTTGTTGTAGTGTGCTTTCCTAGTGCAAGGCTCTGAGTTCTGTCCTCTGCTTTTAAAATGAGCAATTAGTTAAAAGCTAGAATATAAACCAGGTCTTCTGAGTGTGAGGCAAGGGACACATCTATAATGCAGTAATCACCCCATGACATAAAGAGGACAATACTAGCACTTGATTATCTGCTCCCAAAACGAATCAAGCGTCAAGACCGATGGCCTGGGCACTGCCCTATGACCAGATGGGGAGTGGAGTGGAAATGCTCCACACCACAGCATGCATCAGAATCTCTTGTGGGAGCAGGGAGCTCTGGAGTGTTCCAGACAATTCTGATGCAGCAGGTCAGCAAAACGCTGTAATCAGATACTCAATAAAACTGAGGAAAGCCTTGGAATCAGCTCAGTTTCTGTCTAACCAGAAAGTGAATGAAAACGGACATGGTAGAAGGCATTGGAAGAGAAGAGTGACATTGGGAAGACCCAGGAACACTGTAGACTATTTCCTTCATGGCAGCTATGATTTAATGCTTTGAAAAAAAAAATCAGGTTCTCTCATAGCCCAGACTGATGCTCTGAGCCCTTTAAGATGAGTAAATCTGATCTTGGAGATCCTAAGGTATTTCTCAGCTATAAATAGTGCTATTTCACTCACAGATGAACTTTTTGGTGCTGATCTTGGCTTCTGCTTTCTTCAAAGATACAACTGACTGTAAACTAGGCTGTAACCAGTGCTTGGCACACATAACAACCTAAATAAACTGTGAACAAATAAGTGATTGTAAGACCATTCTCTCTCCTAATCTGGTGAAAAGAAGACATTTTCTGAGCCTCACTTTCTTCTTTTTTACACTATCTTTAAAAGGCAAAGCCAATATGCTGCTCTCTCTTTCCAATTTACATGTATTCCTTCTGTAGTCAAATGGGTTGGGGCTTCTGCCTTGTCACACAATAACCATAAGTCTTCGGATATTTTCCTTACTATTATAGAAAAAAGGACTGACAAATATACTTCCCTATGAATTAAAATTATGAACATTTTGAATTTGAATTAATACTTACAATTTGATCTACATTTAATGGCAATCATATTTACCCTAGTGGAATAGAGAGCTATTGTATGCTTACTGCATATGGATTTTGAAGTATAATTGCCTTCTCAACCATGTTCCAGTCAGCATTAGCAAGATCTTTGTCAAATTTGAGTGCCATGGCTGTAGACTTGGTTAGCTCTTGGAAGTGTTGGAATGTATAATAAACTGATTTATGTTTTGTTGATGTTACATCACGAAGACCTTAGGGACAAAGAATAGATTTTACAAACGGTAGAAGGACGTGATTTTGATATAATTATAAAATTTCCTTAGTTCTTATCCTTATTCAGCACTTATGCATATGTAGTGTGTATTCATCTACTTGCAGGGATACTTGTCTTGTCTGTGTGGTTGTATGTGAAGGCCACATGTTGATGTTGAGATGCCTTCTTCCATCACTTCCTCAACTGTATTTTGTCATGAGAACCTAATAATTCTCACAATAGCATTCTTATCAAAAAGTTGGCTGAATAATTGGATGAACTTACACTACTCTTTAACTACATGAGGTTAATGTAAATAATCATATGAAATAACTTTATTAGCCTGAATAATTTATACATTTTTATACAGTGATTCAATTAGAAAATACTGACTTGCATTTAGATGGATATTTTTTTATTAGCTCTTCTAATGATATTTGGAATAATTTTTTTCTTTTCTCACCATAGTAAACAGTAGAGCTTACCTAGTTTTGTAACTGCCATTGGCAAAATCAATCTATTGATAATCAGGGTAATTAAGCATACTGACACTCCATGAAATAATATCTAGAATTGAAAAAATACATTAAATAAGTATTTAGGATTATTTATTACAATATATTCTGTATTATAGATTTCACTGGGTTGTTATATGCTAACAAACGATTGTATTAAGTGAGGAAGCTGGATGTCGGGCATGAGAAAAGTGATCTGGAGACTCACTATACTCTTGCACACATCCATCTCCAGCCATGTTTTCGGAAAGCAATCAAACGAACAAAAACAGAGTCAGGACTCTGGCTTCCCTCTTGAGGCCTGCAAGATTCTTTGTAATAATCTCACTTTAAGATACAGTAAAGGGAGAAACACTACCATGTCTGTTAGGACTCTGCTGGTGACCACGTCAGAGGAGCAGCAGGTGGCAAAGGAAGCCCAAGGTGTCAGCCCACTAGGAGGGTGAATTTCATTTAGGCAAAGCCATGGGACTACAGAACCCAGAATGTCTTTGTCTTCTGCTGTGATTTTACATGCTTGTTAGTGCAATATTCCTCTGGTATCTTACCTAGTGTGAGTAGATGTGGGGAGATCTACACTGCCTATAATAGAGTCTGTTCATATCTTGGGAACATTCCGTTCAACTGGGTATTTTATCTGTGGATTGTCAAGAAGATGAATCTCCCCCAAGCTGTACTATCTAATTGATAATAAAGATGTCTTATACAGAGTTTTGATGAATAAAAATAAATACAAGGAAAGGCCACACAACCAGGGTCTGTGAGTTTCATCTAAGGAGCTGCCTAGATTGTAGCTCAATTTATTGACAATTAATAATAACAACTGAGTCCCTTAGCCCAGCTAGTTTAAATTTTTTTGACCTTAATGTTAGGAGATATGTTCACAGGTTCGGAGTTTAGAAGTTATCACAGCTGAAACAAAGCTTTGAAATCAACAAAGTTAGACTAAGATTTTTTTTTTGTTTAAATAGCTTTGTAGTAAAACACTCAAGAAGACAATCTGGAGTTTTCAAAAGGCACATAGTTAAATGTGGAACTCTTTAAGGTCAGGGAACAAGAATGAAACAACCCAATTATCATCGGCGAATGTACTTTTCTTGCAAGGACTGGTTGAAAACCAAAGGTGATGATTAATTTCTTATGCCCATTTCTGCCCTCAGTCTCCTGATATAAAAAGTTATTAATGAGTTTTATATTTTGAGTTTCTTTAATGTACCCTAAAGATTAAAGTAGAGCTGACTGATTCTTTTTCATATATAAAAGTTTAGATTTGTGGTTCCTTTAAGATTCCTTAAAAGATTACTATTCAAGATAAGTAATAAAGTAATTGGCCTTTTCTTTGTAACTGTAAAATGCAGCCTGCCAGTAAAAACCGTGACCGAGAAGAATGCCTTTCTGCCCACACGCTTAGTCTACACCAAGTTGTTTGCGTGTGAATGTATGTAGGTTCTTGGGTTAACTTACTCTTCACCTATAGTATGCTTAATCATGTAAGAAAAATTAAAAACATGTTTTTATAGGTATTCATTATAATTCACTAAAAAATAGAATATAAAATCACATTGTAATGCCTAATTGCCTAAAAAACTTTGTTGAAGTATATAAGTTGTAGAAAAAAGGATACAGTAGAAAAAGGAACATGGAAAGAACATAGAATCAAGAAAAAAGCCATCGACGGAGTGTGAGTGTCTTTTTCCCTAAACCCCCTCCAACAGAAAGTCTTAGCTTATGTTGACTCCATGGATTCCTTTCAAAGCCCTGCACTGCTGGAGACTGACCCCGACAGCAGTAGACACTACTTAGACAACTCTCACTGACCAAATCTTTGTTTCCTACATTATTAAATGTGATCCATGAGTGATATAAGGAAATAGAGCAAACACTCAGCGAGAACCCTCTTTGAATGAATGGATTCTAGAATACGTAAATAAAAACTGCGGAGTGGATGTCCTGCAACAGCTGCTGTTTAAAATGACTTACAGATTTTAATTCATCTTCATCTGAAACCCCTTAGACCTGTGAAGAAGGCTGGGTGTCTCTAAACTGGAAGGGGGATGAAAATTATTGGATTTCCTGCCCTAGTCTTGCACGTTCTATGCCAGAAGCCTCACTCAGTCCCTTGTCTCTTGGCTCTCCCTATAGGTTAGTCCACAACTTTCTCGGAATGAGCAAACCACAAAACAAGAACCCTCTCTCTAGGGATGACACGTGGGATGTACTACAAAGTCATGTTCAATACAGAACAACACTCTCATCAAATATTCAAACAGGAAAATGCAGCTTTCTTTACTAGAGATTTTTCCCTCTCGGAACCAACAGAGACGTCAGAGTAAGCAAGCAGAAGGGCCATGTTTATGTTCGGTGTCCCTTTCATTTCACTCCAGACCATGATGAACGCCCAGCGCCAGCTGAACCCATGACCAAGTCGAGACAAAACGGGGCTCATTAGGAGAAACACCAGGAGTCTGGAAGACAAAGCACGTTTTTGAGTTATCTTTGTGGTGGAAATGCCTTGCTGCATAATCCTAGTACTCCCAAAGAGCCATCTTTCATACACTATTATCAGGGCTCCCAAGGGAGCCACGTGTCACAGAGACACTCACAGAGAGAATGACGCGCTCTTGTTATTTCTCTGCACTGCTCAGTGGTAAGGTGACTTTGCATCATGCATGGGGTGCTGCTTTCACATGTGGAAGACAAGCATTAGACATGTTATAAGGCTGCAATAAGAAGGGTAAACAGAAGATGATGGGAGATGCGTTTTCCTTACAGATTTTCTTCTTGCTCAATTTGTCCGTATTGTCCAGTTCTTCCCTACTCCCCATGCCACTCCAACTGTCATACCGATTTTATATGATAATTTGGACAAATATTTGGAATTAGTGGGTTGATGTCAACAATTTAACTGATTTTCTTATATGGAAGCAGAATGTTAGCTATTTGAGGGACAGGTAGCTGTGAGATTGCAGTTGAGGTCAATTTTATTAGTGTACAGCCCCATGTGGTGTGGACTCTTCTTTCTCCTAAGACTGGGAAAAGGGACTGCAGAAATTATCATGGGGAAAAGGAAGACATTTATAGGTAGGCTCTCATTCTGATTTCTTTTTTTTCTTCAATAAATCTATATTTCAGCATGGACAATTATATACCCATTCATGAATATCAATTTTTGTTAAATCAAGCTTGGCACAAGAAGTCAATCTTAGATAAACATAAACTTCATTTTTCAGGTTAAAAGAAAGCTTAGCACAATGTTTTATTTTATTGATTTTATTATATTTCTCTCTGCTCTCCTCCCTTTCTTTCTCTCCCCTTCAATCCTCCCTATGGTCCCCAACTTCCAATTTATTCAGGAGATCTTGTCTTTTTCTACTTCTCATGTAGATTAGATCCATGTATGTCTCTTACTTAGGGTCCTCATTGTTGTCTAGGTTTTCTAGGATTGTGTTTTGCAGACTGGTTTTCTTTGCTTTATGTATAAAAGCCATTTATGAGTGAGTACATAAGATATTTGTCTTTCTGGGTTCTGGGTTACCTCACTCAGTATGATGGCTTCTAGCTCCATTCATTTGTCTGCAAATTTCAAGATGTCATTGTTTTTTATGCTGTGTAGTACTCCATTGTGTAAATATACCACATTTTCCTTATTCATTTTTTGGTCAAGAGGCATTTAGGTTGTTTACAGGTTTGGGCTGTGACAAACAATGTTGTTATGAACATAGTTGAGCACATGTCCTAGTGGTATGATTGAGCATCTTTTGGGTATATACCTAAAAGTGTTATTGCTGGATCTTGAGGTAGGATGTTTCCTAATTTTCTGAGAAACTGCCATACTGATATCCAAAGGGGCTGTACTGGCTTATATTCCCACCAGTATTGCAGAAGAGTTCCCTTAACCCCACATCCTTTCCAGAATAAGTTGTCATTAGTGTTTTTGATCTTGGCCATTCTTAGAGGTGTAAGATGGAATCTCAGAGTTGTTTTGATTTGCATTTCACTGATGACTAAGGATGGTGAACATTTCCTTAAGTGTCTTTCAGCCATTTTAGATTCCTCTGCTGAGAGTTCTGTGTTTAAGTCTATACTCCATTTTTATTGAACTATTTCTTTTGATGACCAATTTCTTGAGTTCTTTGTATATTTTGGAGATCAGTCCTCTGTCTAATATAGGGTTGGTGAAGATATTTTCCCATTCTGTAGGCTGTCATTTTGTTTTGTTGACTGTGTCTTTTGCTTTACAGAAGCTTTTCAGTTTCAGGAGGTCCCATTTATTAATTGTTTCTCTCAGTGTCTGTGCTATAGGGGTTATATTTAGGAAGTAGTCTCCTGTGCCAATGTGTTCAAGTGTTCTTCCCACATTCTCATCTATGAGGTTCAGTGTAGTTGTTTTTGTTGTTGTTGTTGTTGTTGTTGAGGTCTTTGATCTATTTGCACTTGAGTTTTGTGCATGGTGCTAGATATGGGTCTATTTTCATTCTTCTATGTGATGATATCCAGTTATACCAGCACCACTTGTTAAATATGCTTTCTCTTTTCCATTTTATATTTTTTGCTTCTTTGTCAAATATTGGGTGTTCATAGGTGTGTGGATTAATATCCAGGTCTTTGATTTGATTCCATTGGTCAGCCTCTCTGTTTTTATGCCAATACCAAGCTGTTTTCATTACTGTAGCTTTAGCAATAGAGCTTGATGTCGAGGATGGTGATGCTCCCAGAAGTTCCTTTATTGTACAGGATTGCTTTGGCTGTCCTGGGTTTTTTGTTTTTCCATATGAAGTTATCATTCTTTCAAGGACAATTATACATACATTCATGAACAACAACTTTTGTTAAATCAAACTTGGCACTCAATTTTAGATAAATATAAACTTCATTTTTCAGCTTAAAGGAAAACTTAACACAATGTTAAAGTCTAACATGATCGTTAGTTCTTAAAGCAGTTCTTATGTTAACTCTTTTTTTCATTATTTTTTTTTCATTTATTTTACATGCCAACCACAGTTTCCCCTCCCTCCTTTCTTCCTGTTTCCTCCTCCACCTCCCATCTACCCAGCCCTGCATCCACTCCTCCTCCATTCAGAAGGGGACAGGCCTCCCAAGAGGGTCAACTAAGCATAGCAAATCAAGTTGAAGCAGGGCCAAAGTCCTCCCCCTGCATCAAGCCAGGGCAAGGCATCCCAACATGGGGAGTAAATTCCAAAATGCCAGCTCATACCCCAGGGACAGGTCCTGATCCCATTGCTAAGAGACCTACAAATAGTCAACCTACACAACTAACTGTCACACAGAGGGTCTAGGCTGGTCCCATGCAGGTTCCCTAGCTGTTGGTCTAGAGTCCCTGAGCTCCCATGAACTTGAGTCAGCTGTTTCTGTGAGTTTCCCCTTCATGACCTTGACCTTCCTTGATGGTGCAGTCCCTCCTCTGTCTCTTCCACTGGACTCCCAGAGCTCAGCCCAGGGTTTGGCTGTGGATCTTCGCATCTGCTTCCATCAGTTACTGGATGAAGGCTCTCTGATGACAATTGCCATGATGACAAATGTCTTAGTCATTCTGACAGGTATAAGATAATCTCAGAGCCATTTTGATTTGCATTTCCCTGATAGATAAGGATGTTGAACAATTCTTTAAGTGTTGCTTAGCCATTTGAGATTCTTCTGTTGAGAATTCTCATTTCTTAAAGAGCTGATTCCAATTTAATTTAGAATTCAAAGAAATGATAAGATAATATTGCGCTAAATCCTAAGATGCAATTTCTAGTGTTAGGTAGAAATCTTGAACAAAGATAGGAAATAGAGAATGAAACATACAAAATATTAATAATATTTACCTCTTAGCAATCATAATAGATTATAAAGCTTTTTTTTATCTCCAAAAAGTTTACAAAGTGTTGGCATTACTCTAAAATTCATGGAAAATTTGTCAAAATTCCTGGGCATTACTATGCCAAGGTTTACTGGAGAAGTTAGAGCCAACTAGTTCAATCTGAGGTATGAAATAATTTTGTTATTTTGGAAAATAATCATCAGATAAATTACTATAAACAAAGTTCAGATGGTATTCTTACCTTAAAACAATCAGTGTGAAGCAGATATTTAATGAATAATATACATCAGAAAATGATATATACAAATATGTTTGTGCAGGGATTAGAAGTCCAATGAAAGTAAACACCATAAGAAAACTAACGAAGGACAGACAATTCCAGAATCTGCATTTTTGAGAAGAATAAAATATAGTTATAGTAACAACATGTTTATTATAAAGCTTACCTCTTACTTATATGAGACATTATGCAATTGTCAATAAAATAAAGGAGAACATGGCATTTATCAACACTCAACAAGGATTAACCCTGAACTGTGAAGAAAGGCAAACCAATCTAGGTAAACAGGTAATTTTAAAGCAACTAAATTAATTTATTTGTGTCAATTAATAACTTGCTTTTTTCTGCTGAGTCTGAAAGAAATAGTGTACAATCATCTGCAACATGGCATAACACAGGGACTAACCATCCAGAAACCACTCTTCACAGAACTAGAAACACTGAGAGTAAAAAGGTCCTATAATCACACCCTGATTCCGAAATGCTAAGTGATAGAATCAAGCAGTGGCAGTGAAAGTGACATTAGCACAGAAGTGGCAGGGGACAAAGATCACAGGTTTGCCATGCAACACCTCAGTTCATATGTTAAGGAGGAAAAGACCATCCAGTGGTTACAAAATGACCTAGAGGAGGAGGGGGATGGAGTAATAAGATGGGTGAGTCAGTGAAGGACGACAGGATCAGTGGGTTGACAAAGGGGTGGCAGAGTTGTGACAAATGGAGGACCCGAGAGAATTAGAAAAATTATGGGAAGTGGGGATGCTTTCTCTCTCAGAGCATAGAGTGGATCATCTCTTAGGTTGATGAAATAAGCAATAGGATGAATTACCATTATCTTAGATTTCTACCATCTTTAAGTATAGGGCCTGGTGAATGTTATCTTTTAAATAGATTTATGGCATTGAATTGAGATTATGCAATTGTTATTTCTATGTCTGTGGAAGTGAGTGGCTTGAGCAAGATAGTAGCCATACTCATAGGAGGGGAGAAGGCTTGGAAACTGAAAACCAGAAGAGTTTATGTTCATCACCATCACTAGGAGTGATGATAGGAGGATGGCGACGAGAGTCAGAGGGATGTCCCAATGAAGTCTCTACTAAAAGAGATGTAGAATCAAGGCAAATGCAAGATTAGGTGATAAGTTTTGTCTAAGACTATGCAAAAATGATTGTTACAGAGAAATTAGTGGGATAGTATATAGCATGCCATGTATCTCTAATAGCTGTTGTAATATCTTAGCTTCCAGTGAATAAAACAAAGTCAACAACAACAAAAAGAATAGCTACTCACTCAAGGAGAAATGCTTCCACTCCTGGTTTAAAACTTGTAGAATTTAGAAAAAGTCCCATGGTGGCCACAGTAAATATCCCAGACAATCCAATGATCTCACCTATGTTTAGAATGAACAACAACAACAAAAGGATCAACTTCAACAGCAGTGTGATCTCTACTGGGTGTGAAAATATCAAATAGTGTGACTTTACACAGATGTTATCCTCCTAGATTTCACCTAGAAAACATTACAAGTTGTTTCTACTGTCCGTATTTTAATCCGCCCACAGATGTCCATCACATTGAGGAGTAAAACATGTGATGCACATGTGTATAATAGTGTATAATACTTTGGCTTCACATCATCTTCATCCATCCCAGTGAAGCTAAGCATCCTCTGCAGATCTGTTTCAGAGGAACTCTGGGTGGGTGCATTGGAAATGACCTGGCAGATTCTGTAAGGACCAACCCCCTTCATGCACTGTCTGCTTGGAAGACACTAAAAAAACCTGTGTTTTGTAGTAGAACTATGGAATTGGGGCCAAAAATGTCACAATATGGATTTCTTCCTGTTTAATTTTTTTTTTAAATTGGTGCATTTAGTATAGAAGAATTGAAATGGATTTTTGTAACGTAGGTAATATACTTGTAAAACCCTCAATTATGTGATATAACACAAAGAGAAAGCTAATAATCCCACTTTCTAAGGCTGTAAATATAATTGTAAAGAAATTTTTGGAAGCCAGGTAAGTGCTGCAAACATGTAATCCCAGCACTTGTAGACAGAAACAGAGGCAGATATAAACAGAGGTTTCTCTGTCCCACCTGGTCCCGCAGTTGCTTCTAAATAATCACTCAAAGGCTTAACATTAATTACAGAACTTTTGGCCTATACTTCAGGCGTATTACCAACTAGTGCCTACATTTGAATTAGTCCATTTCTATTAATCTAAGTGTTGTCACGTGGCTGTGGTTTTTTCCGATCTACAGACATATTGTTTCTTGGGTAGCTGGCTGGCATCTCTCTCCACTCTGCCCTTCTTTTTCCTTGTATTTAGTTTGGCTTTCTTCCCTAGCTATATTCTGCCTTGCTATAGGCCAAAGAAGCCTTTATTATCAACCAACGAGAGCAACATATATTCACAGTGTACAGAAGGTTTATCCTACAGCAGGCAGAGGCAGGGCAGGGACATGGACAGGGGCTTCTTCGTGAGTTTAAAGCCAGGATGGTCTGTAAAGCTTGTTGCAGGACAGCTAGGTCTATATAGTGAGCCCCTGCTTCAAAAGCAAAACCCAAAGGAAAACAATAAGAGCAATCACCAAAATAAAAGAAGAAAATGAACTTTTGATTGGAATTTCTTTTAGGAAGAATATTATATTTGTCTGGAAAGAAATCCTTAGTTAAGCTTTGACTATCAGATGAGGGCCAAGAAATAGCCACAAGCATCCATGTACGCTTGCTGAGTTTTTAAATTGAAGACAAACAGCAAAAAGGAAACTGGAAAGATGAGGATATGGGAAAACAGAGGAGCCGTCAGAACTGAAAATAACTCATGAGCCACTTGGTATAATTTTATTTTGAGTTTCCCAGAAGAGAGCGAGCTTTGAGCAAAGACAGAGGCAGTAGCAAGGAAACAAATGCTGGACATTTCAACAAGGCTCAACATGTTTGAGTTTACAAAGAAGTTTGGTAGAGTTGGAGATTTTAAATAACTGAGTCAGAATCCTTTTTAGGATTAAAGAACTTAGAGAACTCCCATTTCATAATCCATCATGAATAACCACAGTCATACAGTAACAGCTCTGCAGTAGGATTGCACAGCAGTGCGAGTCTATGATAGGCTCCCGGCTGATCTAGCACACACTAAAATATTTATTCTTAAAGTTAAGAAGCATTCTGGACACACTACTCTTACTGAAGTTCCATACACATACACATTTGACTCAGTTCTGGTCCACTCTGTCTATTTGATTTACTTTATATTCTTGTGTCTCAAGGGCTGCATTTTAACTTCTACAGACTTATTAAATGCTCTGATATTTGTCTATTAGGGAATTTTCTTTGCTTAAAGTACCTACTTTTACATATTTATTTCTTTTGATGTAGTCTCCTGAGGCATCTAGGCTGGCATCAAGCTTACTACATAGCTGAGGGTGACCTTAAACTCCTGATTTTCTTGCCTTCACCTTCCAAGTTCTAGAATAGCAGGTGTCCACCATGATTTCCAGATATACACTCATTTTTATAAATGCTTTTGTAAAATACAAGGTTCCAAGACTAAAAAAGTGCTATTAATTTGATTTGAATTATGGTTAAAATTTAATTTAATGAAATTAATATTTTTTCCACAGCATTTAGGCTTCATGCCTAGATCTTAAGTTCCATGTTTTAGAGTTTTGTCTCAGAAATGTAAACAGAAACATTTTAGAAGCAAACACTTTAATTCAGCATTTACAACTTTTTATTTAAGTATACTGAATCATGAAATAAAAAAAAAACTAGGCATAATTACCTTGAGAAGATCAAGTTCAGAACAAATAGTTAGAACTTTTTAGGTGACAGCCAAGGTAGGAAAATATTACTGATTCCTGCTTTGAATATGATCATGGACACATTAAGGCAGATCATGATGAAGGAAATTTTGTGTTATGTATATTTTTTTCTGTCTCTTGTCTTAAAAAAATTCTGTTCTAGCACCTTCTTTCCTAAATGTCTACTGAGATGTCTTAATTTGAAAGTTTAGAGGTGTGTGTGTGTGTGTGTGTGTGTGTGTGTGTGTATGTGTGTGTAACTCCTACTTCTGGCTATGCTTACATTTCAGATATTAGGGAAGACTGCATTTGTTGGAATTCATTTTTATAAGAACTTAGCTGTATGTCTTTACACCAATACACATGGAATGTACATCACTTGACTGATCATCCTTCAATGTTTTAATTCATTAACTTGATCCTATCACTTTTTAGCATCATAATCGGCTCAATACAACAGACTGATTAGTTGGGATTTCTTAAAATTGTGTTTATCCTTTCGCTGGCATGAGAGTAATATGGTTATTTTCAAATTTCTAAACAGAAATGTTTCTTCATTACAATTTATTCAAATTATATAGATCTTAGTAACGTTGTTCTTTTCTGTATTGGTCCAGGCCCCCTAAATCTAAAGGTTGATAGTTTATAAATTTCTGTTAATGCAAAATAATCAAAATTTCCAGATATGGAGGGCATAGTATCTCTATAGAGGGTCTACAGTCTGTTCTGGTACATAAAATTCTTTATATATCTTATAACACAGGCATGTAACTTAGTTTTTACTCATAACTTTTGTAAATTGGTTAGGAAATTCTACAGGAAAGGTATAATAAAATAGTACAACTGTAGTTTTGCCAGATTCCTCTGGGTTTTGTGTTTGTTTTCTGTATCTGGGTACACTGTTCTCTTTGCACAGGTATTCACATTTTTTACATTGAACTGTAATTTAATGTGAAGCATGGACTCTCCCACTTACAAATGTAAAAGATGAGGTAGAAAACCGAAAAAATGAAAATGATGTGATTGACATCATCCCCAAAAATGGTAGACATCCATAGCTGGATCAGCTTCGTGCTCAGGATTCCAAATATGAAGCTTTCGAAAATATATGCCCAAGCTGTGGATATGATGTTATGGGCTATGGGAGAAGAGAGAAATGGAAAGCTGTTAATAGAAGCCACCTGGCCTTCACCTTGAATGATGCACCTAATCAATTTTTCTTTTTGTCCTTATTAACGTTAGCTCATTGCTGTAATGAACACTGAAGTACAGACACCCCTTCAAGACACCAAATTTACTGTGTGTTAATCCTGTTTATGGTTTACCATTTTCCTACGACTGACTTAGTTTCTGCACAGGAGTAGCCTTTTCTTCACACACTCACCAACATCTCTTAAGGCTTTTCCTTATAATGAATTTTTCCTATATACATAAATACAACCTGCTCAGTCTGTGTAAGACTATTTTTATGGAAAGGATGAGGAAATGATGTAATTATATTATAATCTCAAAAGTAAAATAAAAGAAATAATTTTAAAAATATTTCATTATTTTAAGTGGAATATTTTATTGTATGTTTTGGCTCCATACATGTCTGTGCACCATCTACGTGATGGTGCCTGAGAGAGCCAAAAGTGTTGGATCTCTTTACACTAGAGTTATGAACGGTTGTGAGCCAGCATGTGAGTGCTGGAAGTAAAACTCAAGCCCTCTGGAAGAACAGTCAGTGCTCTTGATCACTGGGTGTTCTCTACAGCCCCAAGTCCTGTGCTTCTTTGCTTTTACAAATAGGTTGTCATTTCCATAGGTTTGAGGTGATATTGTGTGTTTTGTTTGTATTTTGATAATTATGACATCAATTGGCTGAGTGTTTTCACATGCCTATTGTACATTTGTATGTCTTCCTTTGAGAACTGTCTGTTCAGCTCTGTCTTAGTTACTCTTCTATTGCTGTGAAGAGACACTGTGATCGAAGCGACTTGTAGAAGAAAGCATTTAATTGAGTGCTGCTTACAGTTCCAGAGGGAAGCATGGTGGCAAATAGGCATGGTGCTGGAGCAGCAGCAAAGAGCTTATATCCTGCTCTGCAGGCAGCAGGCAGAAAGAGGGAGAATGATTCAGGTGTGGACTTTTGAAACCTCAAAGCCTACTCCCACTGACACACTTCCTACAGCAAGGTCATAACTCCCAATCCTTCTGAAACAATCCACTAAGGACCAAGCATTCAAATATATGAGCCTAGGGGGCCATGTTTATTCAAAATACCAGAAACTCCTTTGTCCACTTAAATTTATTATTATAATCCTCAACTTAATCAGCAGCAGCACTACTATTGTTATCATTATCACTATCATTAATGTGTATATATGCATGTAAATATGTGCAGCATGCATCTGGAGGTCAGAGGGCAACTCTGTGGTGTTAGTTCTCTCTTTCCACCTTTATGTAGTTTCTAGGGATTAAATTCAGGTTGTGGGAAGGTAGAGAGAGCAGGAGGAGGGTAGGAAGAGGTAACTTGGATTGGCATGTAAAATAAAAAAAAAGATTGTTTTAAATAAAAAAATTAGGTCATTAAGCTTATGTGTCAAGCTCTTTTATTCACTAAGCCCTCTTACCAGCCCTGAAATTGCAAATATATCTTTCCAAGTTATGGAAAAAAACCTTAATGTCCAGCATTAAGTGGATGAACAAAGAACATTTGATTTACAATGATGATAGCACCCAAATTAATCCTAGCACTTACAGGAAGAGGTGGATCTCCATGAGTTTGAGACTAGCCTGCTCTACAAAGTGAGTTCCAAGATAGCCAGGGCTATTCTCTGAACCCTGTCTCAAAAAACAAAACCAAACCAAACCAAACCAAAACCCAAATCAAATCAAACTAAAATAAAAAATTAGAATTATTTGGTATATACTACATGGGAATAATATTCAGCCTTTACAGAGAAATTCTGCCATCCACACCATCATATTTGGTGAATATTGGTTCACCATAAAGACAAGCTAAGTGAAAAAATGCAAACGCTGAAACACAGAAAGACAAATATCAAAATACTGTGTGAACACACACACACAAAGACACACACACACTGATATACATACATATATGCATGCAGTAAACATTACAGGTCACATTTGGTCACTTGAAGAGTTTCTTTGGTCAGATGGTCCAATCTTGGAGATTCAAGAATGATCAAGGACTAGGAAGTCCCAGACTCATGGAACAGATGTAATAGGGTAGGTATGAGGAAAGAATATGCTTCTGAACCTGTTATGATTGGGTTCTCAAATGTCCCACATGGGCATATGTTTTGAACCTTGTTTCCCAGCTTTGTGGCACTGTTTGGGGAGCTGTAGGACCTCCAGGAGGTGGGGAGTCTTGCTGGCTGAAGTAAGCCACTAGAGGTAAATCCTGGCTCTTTTCTTCATTGGCTGCAGCAAGCTCCTGCCATCGCTTACTTTGTCAGTCCCCCTTGTTTTCCCATTGTGACAGACTGTAACCATCTGCAATCACAAGCCAAAATCAACTGTTCCTCACATATACTGTTTCTGTCAGGTGTTTAGGCAGAGCAACACAGAAGGAACGAATACAGAGTCTCTACATAATCAATCCCTTACATTTTGTTGGCCTGTCAAACAGATTGACTAATTATTACTGGACAATCTGTTTGTTTTCTCTTCCTGAAAGCTATTCTTCATTATATATTTCTATACATAATTTTTGTGTTTCTTTGCTATAAACAAGCAAGATAGAGATTGTTTGGAATAGAGAAATATGAGGTTTCTTATACCCCACAAGAATGTGCCCTCCTGAGTGATGTATGTGGGTCTTCTGTCTATGTGTTACTTTCATTGGTTAATAAAAAAACTGCCTTGGCCTTTTCAGACTTTTTTTTCTTTCTTTTTTTTTTTTTTTCGAGACAGGGTTTCTCTGTAGCTTTTTGGTTCCTGTCCTGGAACTAGCTCTTCTAGACCAGGCTGGCCTCGAACTCACGGAGATCCGCCTGCCTCTGCCTCCCGAGTGTTGGGATTAAAGGCGTGCGCCACCACCGCCAGGCCCCTGCCTTGGCCTTTTGATAGGCCAGACAGAACAGAATTCTGGGAGAGAGAAAGCAGAGTCAGGCAGTCGTCATGACTCTCCTCTCCGAGACGGACACTGGTTAGACTCATGCTGGTAAGCCACTGTCAAGTGGCAATACAGATATTAGAAATGGGTTAGATCAATATGTGATAGTTAGCCAATAAGAGGCTAGAAATAATGGGCCAGGCAGTGTTTAAATGAATACAATTTCTGTGTTGTTATTTTGGGGGTAAAGCTAGCCATGCGGGAGCCGGGTGGGATGAAAAGCAGGCCTGCTCACCTCATCATTACACCTGAGAAACTGCCATATTGATTTGCAAAGCACAAGTTTGCACTTCCACCAGCAGTGGAAGAGTGTTCCCTTTACTCTGTGCCCTCTCCAACATAAGCTGTCATCAGTGTTGTTGATCTTAGCCATTCTGACAGGTGCGGGATAGTATCGTTTTGATTTGCATTTTCCTGTTGACTAAGGGTGTTGAACAATTCTTTAAGTGTATTTCAAGTATTTTGAATTCTTCTGTTGAGAATTCTCACTACACGCTTTAAAATTTTTGCAGTGTTTGGTCATGATGTTTAAGATTTGGGATTTTTCTTTGATCAACAATGTTGCCATGGCTTCAAGATATGCCAGGGCAATGGTGGTATAAAGCTCATGGGAGTAACCAACCAACATCTTATTTGACTAAAGGTCCACTTCATGAGATGGAACCCATATTCAGTAATGCCTGGATCACCAAGAACCCGAGGCTAGATATCCCAGAGACCTAGAATTTAAAAAAAAAGCAATGAAATAAAATAACTCCTAATGATATTCTGCCATTCTCATAGATCAGTGCATGTTCATTCACCATCAGAAATGCTTCCTCCTACACCAGATGAGAATAAATACAGAGTTCCTAAGTCAGACATTATGCAGTGAGTGAGAAACCTTGAAACACCCAGCTGTTTATGGGATGTCTCCATCAAATCCCTCCCCTCATGGCTGGGAAAACCCTGTAGAAGAGGAGGCAGAGTGTAAGAGCCAGAGGGAATGCAGGAAACCAGGAAAACAAGACCCTTTGGATCAACATGATCAATGCATATATGAACTCATAGAGACAATATTCCAGGGTCTACATGAGTCTTTATCAGGTCCTCTGAAAATATATGATGGCTCCTAGTTTAGTGTTCTAATGGTATTCCTGGGTGTGTGCCTGATTCTTGTGCCTTCTCTTGGGCTCTTTTCCTTCTTTTGGTTTCTTTTGTCTAATTACAATGTGCTAGTTTTTGTTTTATCTTAATATATTTTATTGCTATCCTTTAAAATACTGTTATTTTCTAATGAGAGACAGAAAGGGAGTGGAGTCAGATGGGAGGGAATGTGGGGAGGAAGTAGGAAGGGTAGAAGGAGGGAAAAATGTGATTAGGATATAATGTGAGAAAAAAATCTATTTTCAGTAAAGGGAAAAAATAAGTAAAATTTTTTAAAAAAGAAAAAAAGGATGTGGTCTACTGGTGAGTTTGGAAAGATCAGTTGGGATTTTCCTTCCTTTCTAAGATGGGGGATATTAGAAGGATCATATTTCAACAGAATGTATTTAGAAATCATATAAACCCTTTGTTCATATCCACATCTTCTAGTTTTTCCTTAAACAGTCTACCAGTTAGGGACTAAACATTCAAATATCTCAGCCTATTGGGGGCTACTCTCTTTAGCCAGCACATACTGAACTAAGACCATCCCACCGAGGGCCTCAGAACCCAGTGAGTGGCACAGTGTGTGCTGATATCTTCAGAAGATTGCTTTCATTGCTTTTCCCAAGGCTGTACAAAAATTGATACAATAAAAGGAAACTACCTTCTTAAATATTTTTATGAAAATATTTTTAGTCATAGAAATCTTTAAGAAGGCCTGAGGAGTTCTTTCTCCCACTACCCACTGATTCAGAGACTACATACTGAGACCAGTATTCTAGATTTTGATCAGAAATGAGCACTAAGAAGCTGTGGGGTGTTGGAATCATTAGATTTCTTGTCTTATGTGATAACTGCACAGCTGTATCATTTATCATTTATTATAATGATATTTATTCTCCACACACATATGTATATGATACAGCAAGGGGACAGATACACTTGTGCTTCAGGGTGATGTGTAAAAGCTGTGCTGGAGAGCTAATGCACAGACTGCAGCTGCTGCTCCTGAGCTCTACTCCAGCCTCTGCAGATGAATGAGTAGCTCACTTTTCTTCTTTAGTGAAACTTTTAGGAGGTTGTGCCAAGGCAGAGAGGTAGAATGAGCTGCCTTCTCTTCCTGTAACTGGACGGCACTCTTAGCTTATCTTCTAAGTTCTTTTTGTTTGTTTGTTTTTTGGAGGGGGTAGAGGGTGGGGCACTACACTGTAGACAACAAAATGACAGTAGCACTAATAACAAAATCCCATCTCCTCGTTGCTGAGACCAGCGGAAGGCTGCTCTTACAAAGGGCCTCATGGGAGTTTCACCCCAACCCACAGTAGTCGCAACATGAAGAAAGAACATGCTACATAAACGTCACATCAACAAGCCAAGCCAATCTGATACTTTCGATAAGCATAATTTATCATAAGATACAACATTCATGACCACATTCAGAAATAACAATTCCTATGTTAAGAAGTTGGAAGCATGTCCTTACCTAGGGTATGGTTCATGTGTTTTGACTGGAAGTTGATCCTCACAACGGCACTATATATAATTAAAGATATAACCGAAGTCATTAGACTGTCTCCATTAATTAAATTTGTGAGGCTTCTAGAAAGACCTACATATGTCAAAGAAGAGAAAATATCATCAATATTTAAGAATATAACTGTATTAACATGCAGAAGGATATTCTTTGTCATGGACTTGTGTCACCTAAACTACTGTCGTGTTGAAAAAAGCCAGTAAATTTAATCATTTACCAGCTGCAAGTCTTTATCATCATAATCAAATACTAACTTAACTATAGTTAATTATGTATATGTAAATCAGATAATTTAACTTGAGAGCTTATGCTTTCTTTCAAAGCATTGGTGACATCATGAAATTTATCAATATAAAGAATACAATTACTTGACTTACATAGGTAAGCCAATTCCTTATAATTCATTTGTATTTAAGGTGAGACAAAATGATGGCAGAAAGGTAAAGTAAAATAATAGACCAAGGACTTATAACCCAGAATTGAAGTAAAATATTAAGATATTTGTCTAGATAAAATTAAAAACTGGCTGACTTTTTCATGTATTCTTTTTAATGGCATTAGAATTCAAGTTCCATGGGCAAAGAACCTTCGGGTATGACCTCCTTTCTTCCTAGTTTTCATCTACCTGTCATGAGGTTCTAAGTTTAAGTGTCTTATCAGTTATACATTCCCATTGCCATTAGACATGTTAGTATTGTTAAGATTCTTAGTCGGAGCATCTTTCGTGATTTGTGAGCCACAGGTCATTTCCTAGAAGGAACATTCCTTTCGGGAAAATTCTTGTCCTATGATTGCAGTCACAATCTACCCATGATCAGGTTGCTAATAGACAAAAAGCCTGAGCACCATGTTCCTCTGGCAGTTTCATTAAGTATATTAATGTTCCAGTTCTTTGCTCTCCTGGTAGCCATGACTGTTTCTCTAACCCAGTGTTTTCCAATGCTCTGACCCTCTAATACAGTTTTCATGCTGTGGTGACCCCCAAACATAAAATTATTTTCAATGTTACTTTATAACTGTCATTTTGCTACTGTTATGAATCATAATGTAATCGTCTGTGTTTTCCAAAGGTCTCCAGTGACCCCTGTGAAAGGGTCATTTGACCCTCGGGGGGTCATAAACCATAGGTTGAGAACTACTGTTGTACCACTACACAAGAAGATCCTGTCTGTGTGGTTATCATCTTGGCAGAAACAGAGACTTCTGCCTCCTTTCTCTTGCACACCAGTGACCATCATGGCAATGTCCCCTCCAAGGGATGCTACAGAAAAGTATATGGAGGAAAGGTAGTCCTCAGATGCTCATCTGTTGGCTGACTATAGGTTAGTGAGTAATGTAGCCGAGATCAGCAAGCCTTGTTTATAGTTTCAAAACTCCCATGCCCATGAAAACTAATAAGCAGCAATTGCTTTAAGTCACCACATTTGGGGTGTTCATTAGCCAGTAGTACCTACTGTTGTGTAATTACTGTAGTTTATAAAATAGAGCTAGCTCAGCAAATAGTGGTTGTTTTTGAATGAACAACAAATTTGGACTTAAGGAAAGAAAAAAAACTCAGGACAATGTACATCCATCTGTTCATGTCCTCTACGGACATGGACACTCCATCCTAAGGGGATTTTCTTGTGAATAATGTACAATTATATATGACTTATAGAAGTAAAAAAACAAAAGAACACATTTATGGAGTTTTAAACTATTTGGAGGATAGAAACAGAGCACACTCAGTGAACTGCTTGTGTGCAAGCCTGAGTACCTGAGATGGATCCCCAGAACCCATGTGAAATGCCTGCTACAGTGGCAAGCACCTGCAATCCCAACACAAGGAAGGGTGAGGAAGACAGTCAGTTCCCAGCTTCCTGACCAGTCAGCCGAGCCTAATCAGTGAGCATTGGGTTAATTAAATACCCTGTCTCAAAGGTGGTGAGCAACAATCAGGTGGATATTTCTGAGGTTCTTCTCAGGCCTCCTTGGGCACATGCCCATATGTGCCTCAGTTGCACACACACATGTACCTACATGCACAAAATCTTGTTTTATAAGACCAAGCAAAAATGCTACTAAGAGAAAAATACCATTACAATTATTTTTTTGAAAGACACCAAGTTAGAAGAGCAACAAAATTCCAAAAGTAATTTGGTAAGATGCTCAGTACTTATGAAATTGGCCTTCCCAGGTACTGGTGATTATTGCAATTTTTAAAAGACAGGAAAAGTTCGGTGGAATACTAGATTATAAAATTTTGAGATTAAAATAAGTGCAGAATTGGCTCTTCAATGCCAAAAAAACTAAGTCTTTTGACTGGAAAAGTTCTGGAATGATGAAATCTCTAAAAGGTAGGAGCTTGGAGGGAGAGTGTAGAGAAGAGGAGAACCAATGGCTCATGATGAATTCTGGCATTTTAAAGTGGGTCTCTTTATGATGCTCAGGTTGGCCTTGAACTCATGCTCTCCCTGCTTCAGTTTCCTATATTCTGGAAATCCAGGTGTGTGCCACCTACCTAAGAATATTCTTCTTTTAAAGTCTCACTTGATACAGTATAGCACAATGACAGAACACTTGCCTAGCACGTTCAAAACCTGATTCCATTCTCGGTACCACAAAACAAATAGATACAAATAAATGTACTCCCCTTTTACCATCTTAATCTCTTTGTCTTAAAAACTCAGCTTCAAATACATATATTTGATATGTCTCCTATATTCTATTTCTACTTGCTAAAAGCAGTCCTGTTCCATTTATCTGGTCATAGAGTAGAAATGAAGTTGACAAGAGCATGTTGTGTTATTAGTGTGCATATGTGCGTGGGGGTACACACAATTAACGCATAGTCTATCTAAAATAAAATATCTAGTGCCCAACGATTAAAAGTGAATAGATAAAGAAGCTGGGTCATTTTCCTGTAAAAAGAAAAAGAAAACCAAACCCTAGTTTGGATTATTTTGCTTTTCTGAATGCTGTAACTTCCGAATAATTTTACATCTAAATATAGATTTGCCCATCCTAAAATAGTATTTGCCAAAATAATACTATAACTAGTGATGTTATTATTTTTCCCTCTTCTGGCTTTTGATTGATGGCGACCGTGACATAAAGGCATTTTAAAAGCCATTGTCCTAATGACTGTCTTACATCATCCTAATGACTGTCTTAAAGAACACGGGATATCAAGCAAAAGGAAATGTGATGGCCCAAACCCTTCTGTCAGTGCAAGGTAACTGCTCATATTACCCTAGTCCATGATGGGAGACTGCTTGTTTTAGATGCAGCATGAGCTCGTCATTGGCCTTTCCTGCTGTCCTAAGCAATACCAGCAGAATATTTGCCAGTCCTCCATGTCCTGCAGTCCCTCACACCACCACACATGGTGAAAATTCATCTCTAACAAAGAATCTTACCATGAAAACGAGTAAGCCATGAAATATGCCCTCAGTGTAGGAAAGGAAAAAATAGAGAAAGGGATACCTACCAAGGTCTCTGATGGAGGCTGAGGTCAGCATAGGATCAGAACTTATAAGAACAGCTGAAAATAATAGCCAAGGGATAGTCTTCAAATCCAATTTATTCACAGATTGCAGATACCAAAGTATTAAGGTATAATTCATCACATATCCAGGAATCGTAATTACAAGTATCTGCAAAGACATTTGGTGGTAGAAAATCAGATTGCTTTTGCATTCTATTTTGAAAAGCATAAGACCAGACAGAACTGGCTTAGTGTGGCCCTCGGGTGCACTTTGCTGGAGCAACCCCCTCAACCCCCACCTCAACAGCTATACAAAAGCAGCTGAGCAGAGATCCTCTGGGTCAACCCAAACCACTTTGACAATGTGTTCTCTGCTGCTACTGCTCCCCCATCCTCCATGCTTCCTGGTCATTTCTCTGGACTTCGGATGCCTGGCTTTGAGTTCAGTTGTATTGCTTCTGTTGGTGTTTACACAGGCAGGACTATTTACAAAACTATTCTAATAGTATGGAAGATGTGTGTGCACAGCTTATAGTCAGGTGTGTTTTCTTTCAGAGTCTTCCCTTAATACAGCCCTTGCCTCCTGGTCCTAAGAAGGCACTGAGATTTGGGTTACAACTGCTTCTGTAAGTTTCCCTATGCCCCTTTCCTGTTCTTGAAGTTGTAATGCTAGGCGGTAAGGATTTAAAACCACACATTTGTCATCAAATTCTTTCTTCCCTGAGACAATACACTTCACAGTCGCACACTTACATATTCCCAAAGTTAAAATGATGATTGGTATGAAATTCTGTCAGTAAAATAGTCAGAATTGTTTCTTGTTCTCCACGATTTTTTCCTGAGCTAATAATATGCTATAATATTACCAATACACACACACACACACATATATGTATATATATATATATTATAGATACAAAGCTGATTTTACCACTTTGATATCGTATACCTTCCCCCTCTTCTTTATTTTCTATTTTGGAACAAAACATTTTTATAATTTGAAAATAATTAGCATGGTTCATGAATGGATAGTAATATAAGAGCAGAATGATTACCTGCCATAGTAACTTCTGGAGCATATATATATCCATGTCAAATGCGACATTAAAGATAATTACTGGCGTAAATAAACCAAAAAACATTTCTGGATCCACCCACTGTATGGCATCTGCATATATCTGGATCTAGTAATACAAAATTGGTTATTCACATATATCCATTCTTTGTTAGCATACAACACATGCCAGAGGTCCTTCTCTCACAATAGAGATGGTATGAGGGCTAAAGTCTTTCTCTGTTGAGTGTTCAGAACTTTCCATCTGAGTGGCAGAAGGAAACAGCTAACAGAGGAAAGCTTATTCATATCCCTAAGTTCTTAACAAAGAGCAGATAGAGGAACCATATTGACATAGGTAGTAAGGAAGACATAGTGGATTTGCAGGTACAAAAGAGAGAGAAAGTATTTCAAGTAAGTGATATTTCATGCATAAGAATCAAAAAATGAGTAAGTCAGCCTATGAAGACCCAGAAGCTACAAATAGCCATATTTAGTCGACATCTATTGAGTAAGGAAAAGACTTGCCACAACAGAGAGGAGAAAGTTCATGTGAGTAGTGAAATAACGCACGGTGTCTCCCCTGATGCTAGCTGGCACCAGCAGGTTGGGTCAGGAGCATTCATTCTGGTCTTGTTTCTTTTGTGGTGCAGCCTACCACATGCACAGATTTTACCTGGCCTGTGTGGCTTTCACCTATCTGAGTTTTGAGAACAGGCACAGGATAAATACTCCCATTACTGCTGTTGCTGTGAAAATCTTTTATCTCTGGCCCAGTTCTGTGCTTTTTCTTAGAAGTTGAAACTATGGCAAGCTGACTAATTAGCTTGCATAATACTAACGTAGACAGGCACAGTTCATGACACAAGATAGCTTCCCTTGGAGGGCTCTTTGGAAGTACTTAAGATTATATTTATGTCAAAATTGGGATTAGGTTGTGAACAATAATTTGGTTTTTGTTCTTACCTGGATAGATAGTCTCTTTTAACATTGCAGCCTATATCTGAGAAAGTCCATTATTTTCAACCCAGATTCCACACCCACAGCAGTGACTGACGAAAGTAAGCATTGGCTAAATATGCTCTCGGGCTAAATTTAATACATGCTGGGTGAGACCCAGCTGTGCCTTTTCCTTTGTGTGTTGAGAAGGCTTGCTTTTGAGCCACCATGACAGAGTTCAGTAGCAGGACCAGAGATCATATGGCCTGCCCAGTGTAAACCATTTTACATTATGGCCTCTTACAGAAAAAAAAAAAAACTTTACCACAAATTCCTGGATCAAGGTAGTATTTAATGTGTCAGGAATACAGTCTACATTCCTTCTAGTAAGTATTCTCTCCTGTCTACATAATCCCAACAGTTCCTAATGTTGTCACTTATTGTCTAAATCTAGTTTGTCTTTGTTATTTCCATTTCAAGGAGAAGGCTACAATAAGCACCCTTAGAGACTAGCATACCTTATAGAAAGTCTATAAATCATTTTTTAAACTAAAGCAACGTTATTGGATCACGATCAGAATCTATTATACTACCAAAATTGTATTCTAGCAACTCCAAATTTCCCTAAATACCTATCTTACTGGCTAAATTCTTGTTTAAGGTTTGAATTTTGCTCTTTCTTCTGTAACTGTGCACATACCTCTTCTAAATACCTCCATGAGTTCAGACTACGGACTCTGTTCTTTCAGCACTGCTATTTTTCTACACTGCAAATATTCTTTGCTTGTTTGGGTGGGAAAGAGATGATTTTTTGGTCTTCTTTACATTTATGCAATTCTAAGATATAACGGTGATATTCATTTATTATACATACCTGGGTAGATGCAAAACTTAGAATTTCAAAACAGCATCCAATTAAAAACAGTATCACAGGAAGAGGAATTGGAAAGTCTTTCAGGTGCATGTTCAAAAATGCTGCAAAAGTATACTTGTTACTGATAGGCAATGTGACATCAAATTTGTGGACTATTATGTGTTACATGACTTAATACCAAGGAAGTAGAATGGTATCTACTACTAATTTACTATCGCACGTGATCGAGATCCTCTCTCAAGCTTAAAGGTATAATATTCATGTGATCATTAATTTATCAAATTTCTGCTTTACAACTCTTATGATGGACTGCATTTCTTTAGAGGTTTAGTTAAATATTCCTAGACACCATAAATTCTTGTGTCAGTACTGATAAATTTGTAATTTTTTTATAACCACTATGAACCATATTGGTGTAGCATGCAATTCTGCAATAAAAGGTAATTAACTCTAACGAAACCACTGTCTGGCTTAGGAACAAAATGAACCTAGCTAAAATTTACCCAGTAGTAAAAATTTTAGTTACTTATTATTAGCAATGTAAAATGAAGCTACTTAGCCTACTTACATAAAAATCTTGGTTAGTCATTACTAGTCACAGAGTATACACTGGAAAGCCCAAAGTAAATAGTAGATTTCCTAGGTTTGTTTGCCATTTCTGTGAAAACGCAGCATCTGAAAGTCTGATAGGTAGAATCAGAACATTTTCTTCTGTTTACTATTTATTTAGTATAATCTCCAAAGAGGTTAATGGAAGTGAAGAAAAACACTGTTTCCAGTCTCTATGGTCGTCATCGTCATGGTCTTCTTCTTCTTCTTCTTCTTCTTCTTCTTCTTCTTCTTCTTCTTCTTCTTCTTCTTCTTCTTCTTCTTCTCCTTCTCCTCCTCCTCCTCCTCCTCCTCCTCCTCCTCCTCCTCCTCCTCCTCCTTCTCCTTCTCCTTCTCCTTTTTCTCCTCCTCCTCATCCTCTTCCTCCCCCTTCTCCTTCCTTTCTTCCTCCTCCTCCTTCTTCATAAAAGCTAGATATGGGCTTTTATATTTACAAAAAATTTCTCAATCCTTCTATTTTCACCTTTGATCCTCCTATCTACATCCTTCAATCATATTAGTTACTGTGAGCTAAGTTATGACCTAGCAGCAATTGTGCTGTGAGTGCCTTAGACCTGACAGAGGTGAGATATACTGATGATGGATATGAAACATCTCTTCCCAAAGGCAGAGGATTGCTTCCTTCAATTGAAAATATTATAGGAAATGTATGAATGTAGGTATAAAAATTCTAATTTCCTATTACAATTCCTTTCTTTAATTCTATATGATAGCATTTACAAGATGTATCCATAGACTAGACTAACAAGAGGGCCTTTTTAAGCTTACCTCCAATAGTACAGATCAAAGACAGTATCAGGATGATTTCAGGGAGGTCCTGAGGAGTGCTCAGAAACACACTTTTGAAAAGATCCAGCCATGCACTACTTAGTTTGACACTTCTGGTCGTAGTTAAATTCTCTGCAGTTTCTTCCATCCTCTTGTTTAATTACAGTCTGTCTGCCTCCAATCCTATGTCTCTCTGCAAAACTCAGAGGGGACCAAAGGAAAGACACGTTTTCTTCTTGGTGTCCTCCTAATGCATCACTAAAAGAGAAGAAAATCACATATTTCTCCCTTAATTATCTCAAGTCCTCACTCGTGGTCTGTGAACATTAAGAAAGCCTCTCTTTTCTGTGATGCTTCCAACTGAAATGAAAGGGAAAAGCCAGATCCCCAGGTGATGGGGGCTTGCCAGCGATGCCATGGATTCTCTCGCAGCCCTGAGTGGTACCCAGCCACTGCCCACCTTGCTCCTGTGCACCTTCTGGGGATGGTTCTTCACCTAACCCTTCTCCCACCACAGAGACCTCAGCTAGTGCAAGTTTCTCACATCTAGAAACACAACACTGAGAGATTCATCCTCGGTTTACCCAACTGTCTGCAGTGGTGAAGGAGCATTTTCATTTGCATCAACATTTCAAGAGGACAGCAAAAACAGACCATGCTGATAGAAACTAGAGCTTTCTTTTGTCACAAGAGGAGCACCCACAGGTCAGGAGCCTGTAAGACTTTAGAACAATGAACAATAGCCACATCCAGAGAACTTATCTCTTCCAAGGTAAGACAGTTTTGCATCAAAGGTCTTTAACTTCCTTCAAGAAATCACACATGTGGGATGTGACAAGGACTCTTCGTGCCCATGCTACCTCAAATGCACACACACACACACACACACACACACACACACACACACAGAGAGAGAGAGAGAGAGAGAGAGAGAGAGAGAGAGAGAGAGAGAATACTTTTCTAGTGATAAACAGTATTTTGAAATAATTTAATGTATGCTTTTTGTAAACATTGAAATACATGTGTAAGCAAACAGTAAACAAATCACCCACACGAATTTCATCCAGGCTTTTCTGTGCTCTCTTTATGCTGATGACCTCATTCTCTTGTAAGGATGCTGCTTGATGCTTTCTCCCTGTTACTGTATCATCAGCATCAACTAGACCTGTGGGCAATGTTCAGTGAGTGGATCACATGAGCACAAACTCCGTGATCAGGCTCACTGGACACAGAGGTCTGACAAGCTTCCCTTTGCAGTGTTAAAAAGCCTGCTTTCTCTAATCCATTGATTTGTTTTCAGATCTCTTTAATTCCCGAGTCAGTGTAACTTCTCTCTCTGCATTAATTATTTTCTGAAATCTCCTAGTGAGTTATAATGGTACAGAGTAGTCTTCTCAGAGGTCGCCTAGGTGTCCCAGGTGACTTAATATGTAGCTATTTAATAACCACTGCAACTGTCCCAGTCCATGGGCAATGACTATTCAGTTTTCAGTCTTATAGACATGTTTTGACTTTGATGAGTTTTTGCGGCAAAATGTCTACAATCAGAAATAACATCTGTAGTCAAAAAATTTTGTTATCTGTAGAGGTTAGGGTGACTACTCACCCTGTGGAGCCATGAGACACCTAGATAAAATGATACTGCAGAGAACTCCCTATAAGATCTGGGCTTTGGATCACTCTGGAAAGGGTTTATGACTGTGGTCTTTAACCTTTCTAATGTTATGATCCCCTAAAGAGTTCCTCATGTTATAGTGACAACAAACGTGAAATTATTTTAGTTCCTACTTCATAACTATAATATTGCTACTGTTATTAATCATAATGTAAATATTCAATACTCAGATGTTTAGGCAATCACATAAATTGTCATTTGATCCTTAAAGGGATCATGACCTGCAGGTTGATAACTATTGGTCTATAAGATGAGGCTATCCTAGAAAGTGGGTGAATCAGGGACAGTTCTGTCATTAGGTCTCTCAATAAATCTTATCTAGAGGGAGAGTGGACTTGAGTAAATGACACCATGTCACACGACTTTCACAAGTATCTTATTTCTGTCTTCCTTTGCTCATGTTTTGTTTGTTTGTTTGAGACAGGGTCTCACTATTTAACACTAGTTGGTCTTGAACTCATAGAAGTCTCAGAAGTATTCCCAGCCTTATGCTATCGACACCTCCAAATAACAGGGATCGTGGGAGGAAATTATCTCTACAAATTAACAGTGTAAATCCATTTTCACAAGTGCTCAAAGAAACCGTGAAGTATTTTAAATCTGATAAACTACTTATTAAATTTTACTGAAATAAAAGTTAAGATTACCACTCATCATTTAGATGGAAATTATGAGGATTATATTCCTATTTTATATTAGAGATATATTTATATTATTAAATGAAATAACCTCTCTATGTTTATAGAAAGATTATTAATATTGACAAATATTCAGTGTTGATATTGACAAATAGACATTCCGATATTCTTTTGATTGGACCATGTAGTTTGACCATATTCAATTCTCATAACCTCTATTTTGTTCAGAGACCAAGGGCCAGTGGGAAAGGTCATCCTCTAAAAAGAGAAACAACAGGTGTCTCACCATCCAGAGTCCAGGAGTGTCCTGGAAAATGTGAGGAGGGGAGGCCAGGAACTTCCTTTCCCTCCAGAACTGTCCAAAACCAACTGCAACCTCACTGACAGTTACTTGATCCAAGCCCCGCCCCTACTCTCCACCTACTGGCTGTAATTTCATAACTCCTAATGTGATTGGCTGATGAAAACAGCATCCTTTTCCTGTTTATTAAAGGCATTTAAAACTATAAAGCTGTGCTATTTAAAAAAGAAAACAACAACAAGCAACCGTGAAAAGACACTGCCCAAAAATATATTATTTATGTATATTTTAACCTGTTGCAGTGAGTTTCTGGCCAGGAACCCAAAGGACAGTCTTTTCTCTGCGTTCAAGTAGGTGGAAGACTCCCGGATAGGGTGAGGTTGTAAATATCTTGAATGCAGGATTTCTGGTTGGTGAGTTTAAAGCTTGGGTTTAAGGCGTTGGTTCCGGGCGTCTTAAAAAAAATGTAATCTAGACAGACAGAGAAAGTAGATTCTCAGTCACGCTGTGGCAAGTGTGAAGATGTTTTCAGAAATGGTAATATATAAATGGTATTTTTTCTAATTTATATAAATAGTAATTTAATTGAAATTATTTAGCAGTATTATTGTGGAATCAAGTTGTATGTTTTTGTATCTCGTTTTTGTCAGTATTCTCAAGAAGAATAGTACCTGTACGATTAATATGTATATTCTAATTTGTGGCAAGTTGAGATTCAAACCAACCATCCACTTTTCTAAGAAAATATTCGGGGAAATATTTTATACTTTCAAAATCTAGGTCATTTTTTTGTCATGTGGGAAACCGCTTTATATTGGGACTCACACAACAACTTAGTGAGGGTGTGTAGGTGCCAACAAGGAGGAACAAACAGAAGGAAAAGGTGGGGAACCACTAGTGTAAATGCAGAGAGTAACCATTGCATGGTCCTCTTGACTATAGGGAGAAGTAGCATTCCCAGCCTTATAGAGCCTGCCAGTTCCAAACTGTAGGGCCACTGACAGTGGCACCAGGATTTATCCCTACTGCCCATACTGGCTTATAGTTATCCACTGTCTTTGGAGGGATACCTTGCTCAGCCTAGATTTAATAGGGAGATTAATTGGGCCTTCCTCAAAGCAATGTGCCTTACCCTCTCTGAGGAGTGGATGGGTAGTGGAGTGGGAGGGAAGGTGGAGATAATGGGAGGAGGAGAGGGAGTGGGAACTGGTATTGGTGTGGAAAATGAAAAAAGATAGTTTTTGCTTTCTTTTAAGTAAATAAAAATAGAAAAACAAACTAACAAAAAACAATTGACAAGTGTGGTCAGATTTATATCAAGGGTTTTAATCCATTTGGACTTTGATCTCCTTTTGTTGTCTTATTTCTTTAGCTATAATTTCAAGAACTATGTTGAATAGGTATGGAGAGCGTGGGCAGCCTTGTCTTGTTCCTGATTTTAGTGGAATTGCTTTGAGTTTCTCTCCATTTAATTTGATGTTAGCTGTCAACTTTCTGTATGTTGCTCTTATTATGTTTAAATATGTACTTTGTATTATGAAGGGGTGCTGAATTTTGTCAGCATCTACTGAGATGATTATATGTTTCTTATCTTTCAGTTTATTTATATGGTGGATTGTATTGACAGATTCTTGTATGTTTAACCATCCTTGCATCTCTAGGATGAAGCTGACTTGATTTTGGTGGCTGATTTTTTTTTTTACGTGTTCTAGGATTCGGTTTGCCAGTATTTTATTGAGTATTTTTTGCATCAATGTTAATGAGGAAGATTGGTCTGTAATTCTCTTTCTTGATTCAGTCTTTGTGTATTTTCAGTATCAGGTAGCCTCATTTGGTGATGTTCTTTCTGTTTCTATGACGCAGAACAATCTTAGGAGTAAGGTATTAGCTCTTCTTTGAAGTTCTGTTAGAATTCTACATTAAAACCATCTGGGCCTGTTTTTTTTTTTTTTCTTGGAGGCTTTTGATGACTGCTTTTATTTCCTTACAGGTTATAGTTCTATTTAAATAGTTCACTTAGTCTTGATTTAATTCTGGTGTGTGGTATTTATCCAGAAAATTGTTCATTTCTTTTACATTTTCCAATTTTGTGGAGCACAGGTTGCTTTTTTTTTTTGTTTTGTTTTGTTTTTGTTTTTTTGTAGTATGACCTAATGATTCTCTGGATTTCCTCGGTGTCTGGTGGTATCCCCCCCTTTTTATTTCAGATTTTGTTTATTTTGGTGTTTTCTCTTTGTCTTTTAATTAGTTTGGATAAGGGTTTGTCTGTCTTGTTGATTTTCTCACAGAACCAGCTCTTTGTTTCATTGATTTTCTGTATCGTTTTATTTGTTTCTATTTTACTGTATTTTAGCCCTTAATTTGATTATTCCTTATCATCTACTCCTCCTGGGCGAGTCTTCTTTTTTTTTGTTGTTGTTGTTCTAGAGCTTTCAGATGTGCTGTTAAGTTCTTAGTGTGAGATTTCTCCACTTTCTTTATGCTATTTCATTTAGTGCTATGAACTTTCTTGTTAGCAATGCTTCCATAGTGTCCCATAGGTTTGGGTATGTTCTGCATTCGTTTTCACTGATTTCTTGGAAGTCTTTAATTTCTTTATTTATTTCTTTCTTGACCCAGGTGTGATTAAATTGGGCACTATTCAATTTCCATGAGTTTGTAGGCTTTCTGCAATTAGTGTTTTGTTGAATTCTAAATTTAAATCATAGTGATTCAGTAAGATACAGGGGGTTACTCCAATTCTTTTGTATCTGTTGAGGTTTGCTTTCTTACTGAGTGTGTGTTAATAGTTATGTACAGCTATTATACTGTCATAGACTCTTGATCAATTGACCCCTTTGTCAGAACAGCATATTATGACCTTCTTTGTCTCTTGTGCTCCTGTGAGTTTGTCAGCTAAAATCTGTTTCATCACCTTCAAGTTTAGTCTGTTACCTTGGTTACAGTTTGCATCACAACCCCTGCCCAATTACTTCACTTTTAATCTATTTGTGTTCTTAAAGCTGAAACAAGTCTCTTTGAGGATGTATAGTTAATAGTTAACCCACTCTTGACATTACTTCACTTGCCTTTAATTCTTTGTTGCTCTTTTACAGTTTCTTATGGTATATTATAGTCATATTCTTCTACCCTATTATTTCCTCTTATTTCTCCACACTTTCACATTGGCCCCTTTCTGCTTCCCAGCTGGTCCTGTTCCAAATTTTACATCCATCTTTAGCTCTTGAGATATGGTTTCCTTTTGAACATCTTGGTGGAATTTGAATAATTGTATAAAATTTTGAATCTCTCTATCACATCATTGCTTACAAAAAGAAATCTAGGTCTGAGTTTTCATTTCAATAGAATCCGCTGCCCATTAACACAGCAACAGTAATATTCATTGACTCAGAAGTCACGTGGCATCCAAGGCATCCTTATTCACACTCAGTGCTCTCTACCTCCAAAACCAGAGTTAATAATAATAGTAATGATCACTTCATTTTTCTTTGGAAATTGACTTTGCTCTGCATGAAAGATGAAAATGTCTCCTAGGTGGGCAGTGATATTAAAGGTAAGGCATGTAGACGTAGTCAAAATTTACCTTGGCGATGAGAATAAAGAAAGGTCTCTGTCATTTCAACCTTAGGAAAGACAAGTATTTATGTATTTTTGTGAGTAAGGTGTACCTGACACATGACCTTAGTGACCTTTATTTTTACAAAGTTTAAGGGAGAAGTTAAAATAAGGAGATAATGCTTCATAAGGATTTATAAATGACTATGAAAAAGAAGGCTTATTACCCAGAATTTGTCTGTTATTTAGCATGAAGAAGAATAGCGTGAACATACATGTCTGTGACATGCAGGCTGACTACTGATACCAATGCCGAGAAACCAAGACCACTCTCCAGAGTATAGCATCATTTTCTGGTTCAAGGTTTGAGTTCTATAACCAAGAGTTTATCTGGATGTTTTAGTTAGGCTTTCTATATTGTGAAGAGACACCATAATCATGGTAACTCTTATAAAGAAAAATAATTAGGGTTGGCTTAAGGGTTAGAGAGTCTATTATCATCATGGCAGGAAGCATGGCAGTGTGCAGGCAGACAAGGTGTTGGAGGAGCTGAGAGTTCCACATATGGATCTGAAGACAGCATGAAGAAATAGAGACACTTGTCTGGGCTTGAACATTTAAAACTCCAAAGCCTAACCTCAGTGACACACTTCCCCCTGCAAAGCCACACATACTCCATCAAGTCTCATCGCCTAAGGACTATCAAGTAGTGTCATTACCTAATGAAAAACATTCAAACCTATAAGTCGATTGTGGCTGTCTTTTTGAAGCCAAGCACACTGGGTGAAATTTTATCTGTATCTTTTTGTATCTATTGTTGGGGAATATTATATTAAGGTGTGTTTAGGCTGCATTTGTTTAAACTCAGTGAAGCTGTGACTCTTTGCCTGGATAAAATACGTGATGGTCATAAAGAAGAACTAAATGGCCAATAGCAAGGCAGGAGCAAAGATAGGTGGGCCTGGCAGACAGTATAAACAGAGAGAATAAATAGCAGGAGAAGTGAGGAGAAGGAGAAGCAAGAGAACAAAGAGAAGAAGATGTCAGGGACCAGTCATACTGTCATCCAGTCATCCACGGAGTAAGAAGGAAAGTAAGACATGAAGTAAGAAAAGGAAAAAGTTCAAGGCAAAAGGTAGTTGGGATAATGAAAGTTAAGAAAAGCTGACTAGCAACAAGCTGAGCAAAGGCCAGGCATGTATAATTAAGAATAAACTTGTGTGTGTGTTTATTTGGGAGCTGGGTGGTAGGCCCCTCAAAAAGACAAAAAAATAAAACATCAAGCAAAAATATATAACTGTATCTCTATTTATGTAGCTACACACACAGATATATATATATATATACACACACACACATATATATATATATATATGTATATTCTAGTTTAGCTTGTGATATAGAATTCAGACAGGTGTTGATAGAAAGTGGAGATGAGGGGTGTGTATCGCCACACCTTGGAGTGGAATGATTGCAAAATATCTTGATAAGGTATAACTTTTTTTTAGCAGGAAACATTGGAAGAAAATTACAGTCTCCTTTTTATGACTGTTCTGCTAGGAAACAAGATATTCTGACTGTTAGTGAAAATTTTCACCAGGAGAGTCAATGGAGTTTTCACTCAATTGCCTTCTCCACCTCTTAATGCTTCCTGTCTGCACACAAGAATCAGGTAAGTCTTGATTTCCTTTTGTAGATGTTAAGCGGAAGTTAATGGCAAAACCGCCAGGTTATAGACCATTTACTTTTATCCTAGTAAAAGGTAAAAAGGTATCTATGCTTGGTTCTGTGTATTAATCATGCACACATATAAACACAGAGCTGGCAAATCATTTAATGTGAGAATAGTTGAAACAATGACTACAGAAAATTGGAGAAAGGGGAGAATGATATCAAGCATGCAGCTTCTGAGGTATGTGCACCATGCTCAAACAAGATAGTCCCTATGCCTGATTTATGCACATATAAAGGTGGCAGACCAGCTAGCTGCAGAGATCTCCTCACAAAGTCTGTTTGTTGCTGTTTTTGTAATTTTGCTCATGTTCACAGTCAAACAACATACATACCATTAAATTTTGAAGTTGAGCTGTTTTAAATCTTTTTTTTGTTTTGTTTTGTTTTTGTTTTTCAAGACAGGGTTTCTCTGTGTAGCCCCTGCTGTTCTGGAACTCACTCTGTAGACCAGGGTGGCCTCAAACTCAGAGAGATCCACCTGCCTCTGCCTCCCAAGTGCTGGGGTTAAGTGTGTGTATCACTACACCCAGCCCAACTTTGGCTTTTTTAACATACTATTTTTGTTAATTGTAATTTGTTTTTTTTAAATTTATTTATTTATTAAAGATTTCTGCCTCCTCCCCACCACCGCCTCCCCTTTCCCTCACCCTCCCCCGAACAAGTCCCCCTCCCTCATCAGCCCAAAGAGCAATCAGGGTTCCCTGCCCTTTGGGAAGTCCAAGGACCACCCACCTCCATCCAGGTCTAGTAAAGTGAGCATCCAAACTGCCTAGGCTCCCAAAAAGCCAGTACGTGCCGTAGCATCAAAAACCCATTGCCATTGTTCTTGAGTTCTCAGTAGTCCTCATTGTCCACTATGTTCAGCAAGTCTGGTTTTATCCCATGCTTTTTCAGACCCGGACCAGCTGGCCTTGGTGAGTTCCCGTAAGAACATCCCCATTGTCTCAGTGTGTGAGTGCACACCTCACGGTCCTGAGTTCCTTGCTCATGCTCTCTCTCCTTCTGCTCCTGATTTTGACCTTGAGATTTCAGTCCGGTGCTCCAATGTGGGTCTCTGTCTCTGTCTCCTTTCATCGCCTGATGAAGGTTAATATTCAGGAGGATGCGTATATGTTTTTCTTTGGGTTCACCTTCTTATTTAGCTTCTCTAGGAACACGAATTATAGGCTCAATGTCCTTTGTTTATGGCTAGAAACCAAATATGAGTGAGTACATCCCATGTTCATCTTTTTGGGTATGGCTTACCTCACTCAGGATAGTGTTTTCTATTTCCATCCATTTGTATGCAAAATTCAAGAAGTCATTGTTTTTTACTGCTGAGTAGTACTCTAATATGTATATATTCCATACTTTCTTCATCCATTCTTCCATTGAAGGGCATCTAGGTTGTTTCCAGGTTCTGGCTATTACAAACAATGCTGCTCAGAACATAGTTGAACATATACTTTTGTTGTATGATAGGGCATCTCTTGGGTATATTCCCAGGAGTGGTATTGCTGGGTCCAGGGGTAGGTTGATCCCGAATTTCCTGAGAAACCGCCATACTGCTTTCCAAAGTGGTTGCACAAGTTTGCATCCCACCAGGGATGAGTGTACCCTCCACAACCTCTCCAGCAAAGGCTATCATTGGTGTTTTTGATTTTAGCCATTCTGACAGGTGTAAGATGGTATCTTAAAGTTGTCTTGATTTGCATTTCTCTGATCGCTAAGGAAGTTGAGCATGATCTTAAGTGTCTTTTTGCCATTTGAACTTCTTCTTTTGAGAATTCTCTGTTCAGCTCAGTGCCCCATTTTATAATTGGGTTGGTTAGCCTTTTATGGTCTAGTTTCTTGAGTTCTTTAAATATTTTGGAGATCAGACCTTTGTCAGTTGCAGGGTTGGTGAAGATCTTCTCGCAGTCAGTGGGTTGCCTTTTTGTCTTAGTGACAGTGTCCTTTGCTTTACAGAAGCTTCTCAGTCTCAGGAGGTCCCATTTATTCAATGAGGCCCTTAGTGTCTGTGCTGCTGGGGTTATACAGGAGTGTGTCCATGTATTGTAGAGTACTTCCCACTTTCTCTTCTATCAGGTTCAGTGTGTTTAGACTGATATTGAGGTCTTTAATCCATTTGGACTTGAGTTTTGTGCTTGGTGATAGATATGGATCTATTTTCATTCTTCTACAAGTTGACATCCAGTTTGCCAGCACAATTTGTTGAAGATGCTCTCTTTTTTCCATTGTATACTTTTAGCTCCTTTATTGAAAATCAGGTGTTCATAGGTTTGTGGGTTTAAGTCAAGGTCTTCTATTCAATTCCATTGATCGACTTCTCTGTTTTTATGCCAATACCAAGCTGTTTTCTATACTGTAGCTCTGTAATAGAGTTTGAAGGCTGTAGACCAGGCTGGCCTCAAACTCAGAGAGATCCACATTCCTCTGCCTCCCAAGTGCCGGGATTAAGTGTGTGTATCACCACACCCAGCCCAACTTTGGCTTTTTTAACATACTATTTTTGTTAATTGTAATTTGTAAATTGAGAATTTTATATAATGCATTTTGATCATATTTACCTGTAGCCTCCTATTTGAAATGAGGTCCATGTGCTCACAGATAAGCATAAGAGAAAGCAGAATTGTTAAACATTCTTCTTTGAGGGAAGAAACTGATACCTATTCGCCCAGAAACTAGAGTAGATGTTTTCTAACAACATGGTGAACTTTTGCTATTCTATGGATCTAGGCTTCACCTGAACCCCCTAAATCCTGAGTATTGTATACCCGTCAATAGAGCCTGTCCTTATGAAAGGCATTCTCATGCAGTAGAGTTTTCTATTATGCTTATTACAAGCCCATCCCCCCTAGGCTTAGACTACTGAGCGCTGTTTCTCAGTCAGTAGCACCCATACCTGTGAAAAACATCACAGGTGCTTTGCTAAAATGATATGTTTTGCAGATGAGTTTTGATGTAGCCAGCTTTGTTGTGATAATTGTTACGTGGTAACACTTCCAATGTTTTACTGGGTTTAAATATGAAAAAAAAAAACAAAACCTTTTCATCAGACTCCAGAAGTTTTGGTCCAGCACTAGTTTGCTAAAGTCAAGCTGAATCCAGGTTTCAGTCTTACCTCACCGAAATCATTGCCCTGCCCACCCTGACCCTTGCCACTCTTCCTCTTATGCCGCTCAGATCCACCCTCTTCTCCCCACTGCAACTTCATGGCCTTTAAAAAAATTAGCTGACTAAGTCTAATTTGTTCTGGTCTTATATCCATGAGTATGGGTCTATCCTCTGTAGTGTGGCATGAAATATATTCCTCATTTGCATAAAAATCTTGTTCGCGTTTTTGGAGAATACATGTATTAGCTTCTATTAGGTGTATATTAGGGGTAGACTTGCTGCTTGTAGGGTATCCTTATAGTCAGTGATAAGATAACCCCAAGGGTTGCCACTGAGTACCCAACAGAATTTACACTTCCTTCGGCAGTGTGGATGAGGTGTATTGTTTCTGCAAATTCTCAATAAAACTTGACATTGCTTGCCTTTCATTTTAGACAACTGGCACATATGTAGTCCTCAGAGTAGCCTGCATTTCCTCGATGACAAAATCGAGCAATTTGAGTACATGAACTATCCATCAAGGTGTTGAATAATTCATAACCTAGGGTACATATGTACATATATGTATAATTATGATACAAGTTTAGCACATATATATGTAAGCAAAGTCATATATATATATAACTTTGCTTAGTATATATATGCATATATGTATTAAGCAAAGTGTTTTATATCTAAATACATCTTATATATATTTATGGATATATATTTATTTTCTTAATTTTTACCCTTAATAGTTATTTATTAGGTAATATGTGCTAGAATTCATTTTAGATACTAGATATTCAATGTTGAGGAACAACTGTAGTTCTTTCTCTCTCTCTCTCTCTTTCTCTCTTTCTCTCTCTCTCAGTTCTGAGGATCAAATATAAGGCCTTGCCTATGCCAGGCAAGCATTCTCCTGCTGAAACTGTACATAGGTTATGGCTCCACACTTTTTCCTTTTCATTGAGACACAGTTTCTCTTTGTATCATAGGTTGCTCTTGAATGCACGATCTCTTCCTCAGTCTGGAGTGTGTCAATTTCTGTTTTGCAGAAGAGGCAAATAGAATGGTAATCATAAAGCCAAGTGGTTTTAGGAACGCTGGAGTAGAATGGATGTATATTTCCCTTAACACTGGACTTCGTTTTCAGTGTATTCACAGGAAATAAAGCATAAGAATTATGAAACAGCTGTACTGGGAAGAAACGTGACCATCTTCTGCAATTTGACAAGTCTGGAAAATGTTCTGCAAGTCACCTGGCAGAAAATTGAAGGCTCTTTGCCACAAAATATCGGCACTTACAGCCATAAATATGGAGAAAATATTATCCCACCATATGTGAACAGGCTGCACTGCGAGATCCTGGAACCCAGTGCCTCCTTCATAACCATCCAAAAAGTGACATTTGAAGATGAAGCCTGCTACAAGTGTCTGTTTAATTCCTTTCCACATGGCAGCCATGGAGGACAAACCTGCCTTAACGTCCTAAGTATATAACCCTTTCTCTAGGGTCCTATTATGGGGGCAGACATCATGGAGTTATAGTGTTTAAGGGCATGGTTCAGAGAAAGGAAGTTAGATGGTGAAAAAAATTGACATTGATGAGTCCAAGTGACTTAGACAGGAGAAAATCATGGAGGCCAATGAGATGGTGAGCTGAGGCAGGACCTTCTACCACCCCACCCCGATTCTTCACAGTATACTGCACTGGCTTCAGTGAAGTGGAGAAAACCCAGAAGAGCATCAGAGTTTTGTTACTAAGGCAAGGAGAAAGTAGGGTAAAGGAAAGACAGCAGAAAAGATCAAGGAAAGGGGAAGGCTAAGGGAATTAGAGTTCTCCAGTCCTCAAATAAGCAATTTATCCCAGGACTAGTAAGAAAACAGGAGTTCTTTATTGTGCTGCTCTAAGCATGAAATACTGGGGGTGTGTCTAATATAATTTATAATTGCAAAGAAGTTAAGATAGCAGTCAGTAAACAGAGCAAAAGGTATTGAAAGTTTTATGATATGTGACGGGTGGTACCTAAGAGGAATATGTTTTCAGCATTTATGTGTCATATAAAAATGGGGGGGAAGCCATTTATTAACAGCATACTAAAATTGATTATATTAACTTAATTTCTCTCTCTTTGCCTCAGTTGTTCCTGAATTAATAACAGAACTCCATCCTGTTCCTGGCTCTGAAGATCTCCTTAACCTTCATTGTTCAGGGGTGGGAAAGCCTGCTCCTGGAATCTCCATTTACCCTTCAGAAGCACTAGTGCTCACACAGAAAGAGTACTTTACTGAGAACCCAAATAGCACAGTGACCACCACTAAAATATACAACATCTCTTTGAAAGCTGTCAGGTCCTTGGGCCTCCAGCACCTGGTTGTGTCCATGACTCACCCCATAGGAAATGAAGAGAAGATAGTTCCTCTGCCAGTAAAGCAAGAAGGTAAGGAGAAGTGACAGCAAATCTGGGGGGGGGGGTAGTTGGAACTGGGGAAACAGCTTAGTCTGTAGAATGTTTGCCTTGAGAGCATGGAAACCCAAGTTTGAACCCCAGCACCCACATAAAAAGCCAGGTATAGGTATGTCCTTGTGATCCCAGAGCTGGGGAAGTGAGGAAAGGCAAATCCCTGGGCTCACTGGCCAGTCAGCCTGGAGTAATCAGTGATCTTTGGATCCAAGTGAAAGTCTCTTAGAAAAATGAAATAAAACTAACAAAATCACAAGCTAGACAGCTCCTCTGATTGATCCCCGGCTTCCAGTACATACATTCCCATACAGATACATTCAAATGCACAAAGAAGCTCAGACATTTACACACATGTACATATACAAGCATGTACTTACACATGCAGAAACATGCACACACATAGACACCCAAGAGAGGATGAGAGAGTAGACATATTTATCTTTTTAAAAATCCATAATGAAAAATATTCATGTTAATTAGCTGCTTTTGAAGAAGTAAACCAATATAATGCATATATATGATTAAGAACTCAAGCAATGAAGCTGGGCATAGTAGCATGCACCTTTAATCCCAACTCTTAGGAGGTAGAAGCATGAGGATCTCTGTGAGTTCATGGCCAGCCTGGTCTACATAATGAGTTTTGGGACAACCACAGCTATCGAGTGAGAGCCTGTCTCTGAATAAAATGAGCAGTGGGATTCTTTACAGCAACTCTTCGCTTACTTAATTGCTTTCACTCATCATTTTAGTTTTCCTTTAGTGCATTAGTCACTTTTGCTTTTTTCCACAGACTATTTTTATTTTTTAAATTAAGATAGAATGTGTTCTATTAAAACATATGATTTGAAGGTTGTTGCTGTTTTCTAAGTACTTTGCAACCATCACTGATGTGCAATTACAGAACACTTCCATGATTTCCTGAAGAAACCAAACACCTTCTAGCAGTGGCAAATTTTCCAATGGCTTAGGTGTGTGGCCTCCCAATTGCCCGTAGTCACCAGCTTGTTTTACATGCAGATAGATTTATCTATTGTGGTTACTTCATATACAAGCAAAAACATTATATGTTTGCTTTGCCTGTAACTTCTTTCATGTAGCAGAGTTTTCAAGGTTCATCCACACGGTGACATGCATCATTACTTAAATTTTTCCATGAGTAAAAAGTATTCTACAGTATAGATGCACCACACCTCACTTATCTATGCTTCAGTTGATAGATATTTGGATTATTTACATTTTTGGCTACTGTGGATAATTCCTCTTGAGCATTTATGCATAAGGTTTTACATAAGTATATATATCATTTCCCTGGGAATAAAAGAAGTGTCCTTTGTAGGTTTTATGGTAGATTAAATGTTCAGTGTTTTCATGAACTGCCAGTGGTCAAATGGTTTCAAGTTTCCAGCAACCATGTGAGTCTGGTTGGCTTTTGTTTGCATCCTTGCCAATACTTGTTATTCTATAGATAGAAGGGATCTCTCCATATGGCCTCGAACTCACAGAAATATGTTTACCTCTGCCTCCCGAGTGCTGGGATTAAAGGTGAGGCCACTACCACCCTGCATATCTAAGTGTTTGTAGTAGGCCTAATTTCCTGTATGTCCTTAATCCCAGCACTCAGGGAGGCAGAGGCAGGCGAATCTCTGTGAGTTCAAGGCGAGCCTGGTCTGCAGAGTGAGTTCCAGGACAGTCAGATATACACAGAGAAATAGGGTTGGGACTATGGTTCAGTGAGAGAGGGCTTGTTTGCCATGGGCAAGTCTCCGAATTTGATCTCTATCTGGGAAAAAAATGGAAAGTGGCAGGAGTCATATGACTTCTTCAGGGGACAAAGCCTGAGAATAGGAGGAACAAGCTCTTATTGTGGCAAGGCCCTGGAGACCCTCACCCATTTCGGCAAAGCCTGTGGACACAAAGCTTGTGGACGGTTCACTGCGTAATTCTGGGCATGACCCCAGGAACATGTGTGCTACCTGCTTTCCTGCTTTCACAGTACAAGCCGTATTGCTGGCTGCCTCGAGTTTCACTTTCTCAGCATTATAAAATGGCTACTAAAAAATCAAAACATTCTCTGATGACTCTCCTCTGAGTGAGCCACAGGGAGTGTCCTTAAAAATACACTGGACCTGATACAGCTCCTAAAGTCTTTGCTGTTTGAGGTGTGGCCATGAATTTAGACTTCCTAAATACAGATGTTGCCTTTCCCACCCACCCTGTGACTAGCCGGAAAGAGGCACAGAAGTTCATGAAGTTTAATATTACAAATCTGCACGATTTTAATCGCAAGAGCCTAGAAGAAATGCAAAATAAATAGGTGATATCAAGAGTTAATGGGAACAGTCTAGGAACAGGAAATTAAGTAGAATCATAGATGCCCACGGGTCTCTCATGGCCGTGTCAGCAACGTAAGAAGTTGAGAGGAGAAGGACGTGAGAGCAGGGGATGAACAGCGCCAGCCTTATACACCAAGTTATGGTGACACACACCTTTAATCCCAGTAGCCACAATGACATGCACCTTTAATTCCGGTAGCTCCTCTAGCTTGCCATAGAAACCATTAATCGCCTTTAATCGCAGCCTAGAGAGGAATATAAGACAAGGGGAGACAGCTCTCAAAACACAGTCTCATTCTGAGATTCATGGAGGCAGGATCGTCACTTCAGATTGAGGTTGAGGTAAGAGTCAGTGGCTGGCTGTTTTGCTTTTCTGATCTTCAGGTTGAACCCCAATTTCTGACTCTGAGTTTTTATTAATTGTGCTTCCTTTAATCATGCTTCACTAGGCCCTATGAACTCTCTATGATTTGGGAAATCTTTAATATTTTAAAAGAATTGTTGAAAGTAATTTATTCAGGTTTTCTGAATAGTTGCAAAGGGAAGCTTGGACCCAGACTAACTAGGTGAACTCTTGAACTCAAGCCATCTCTTATTAATCACTTTCAAAAACCCCACTTTTATTATTTTACAACATTTTTTAATCCCACATCAATCCTTTTATTATTTGACAGCTTTCCTTCTCACAGCCTGTCTACCTGGTCTTTATAACTCCTTTCTTCAGTTACTGAGCTTTGAACCTCCATTCCCAGCAGAACAAAAGTGTCATTTTCGATCTTCCTCAGAGCCCTAGATCAAGTGGTGCAGTTCCTCGGTTTCCAATGAACTGTGTCTGTCACTTCCTCCTGTAGAGTCTAGAAATGTTGTTCATAGTCTATAAAGCTCGGCTCCATTTCCAAAAAGCACGCTATGGAAGCAGAGTTACCACTGTAAGTGACTTGTCCTCATATCTCACGCTCATAGAATCTCAAATCATTCTCTCCTAAAAGTTTATGCATTCACCTCCTCTTATTCATTTCATATTTCACAGCCAATAGAATATTTTGTTTCTACCAATATTACCACTGTCTTCAGGCTGGTTTTAATGTGTCTCAACCCTCACAAGCCTTGTTCAATTAGTTTGTTTCTTGTTTGCACTAATTAGCAGCACTGCCATCACAGTGAGTGGCATTATCCCCATGGTTAATCCAAGATATAGTGATGGAAGTCAACCACTACGGGCTTTTTGATGGTTCTATCTGTTAACATTCTTGAGGGAATGGTTTTATTGATTATAATTATTAATTATTAATTTTATTATGGGAAATGTAGAAGAAAAACCTAGCATAAAAATAGAATAGCATTTAAACATATCAGGAGTAGCCTAAAGAAATCTCCAGTCACCAAACTTTTATCAAGGAAAGGGTTATCCTAATATTTCAACAGTCAAAAGTATTAACTCATTTCTCTCTCAGATTCTCAACTCCAAATTGTCTAAACTGGAAGGGAATTTGTACTTTCTTTCTAGTTCCCTCCCAACTGTTTTACTTTGATTAATGGCAAAATACATTGCCTAGCACCTGAGAATTTTCAAACCAGTCAACCAGCCTCCACTATTCTCTGATGTCAAGTAAAGCCTTCTAGCTTCAACAGTGGATGCAAGATAACAGTGAATCATTCACATTGTAGGGAAATGGTCTAATTATTTTTGTTCCACGGCTCAGAGAGTTGGTGACCATCTTGCCACAAGCAAACCAATTATTTGAAATAATAAATACCTGTATGAAATAAAGCAGTCCTGAATTGCCACACAGCCTGTAGGTTTTCATTAACTCTATGCTATCTAAAGCTCACCAACTTTTCATTTGAGTTTTGTAGACCAAAGCATGCTACATGGCATACCTTGATTTGATTTCAAATTCATGGATACAGTATAGGCTTCAGAGAGCTAAGGAAACTGTCATCCATCCTAGTGAAACCTTCCCCTGCTTAATGCCCTTACAACACACTTGTCAGAGAGTGGAATGTGTTGGAGGAATTCTTTTCTCCCTGCTTCTCCTGGGTAATATCCTAGAATCTGAAGACACAGGTATGAAGATCCTGGGGTCTTTGTGTCTATTGAAATTCAGATGCCAGCCTATGGGGACACAGTTGGGACAAAACTCAGTTTGAAGTATAAACATAGGACATAGAAAGAGGTTTGCTACCAAATCTACAATAATGGGATCCTAAGTATTCTGCAGGAGAGAATAGGGCTTAGAAGACTACATCAACCACCCAGTTAATACTATTTACACAGTAAGTGTTTGAGATAAGTGGAACAGTAACCCATGAACCTTAAAATAAAAATCAAAGACTATAGTTTCTTTCTTTTATGTACATTGACAAGGCAAGCAGTTTACTGCAAACCCAGAATAGGGAGTTCTGTAAATTTCTCTTTCCTTCCATGCTGTATATCAGTACAAAGGTTATGAGTTTTATAGGCTTTCACTTGATAACACAGGGTACAGTAAACCTCTGGCTATCAGTCTTGTTCCTGCTCCTGTATACTGATAGCGTTCATGGAATTCCTGAAATGAGAATGAAGTGAGACCCGGAAATGGTATAATTTGGTAAGAAGATCTGTTCTGTGTTGTCCCAATATTAAAATATAATGACTGACATTTTGTTTTAGGGCTAGTGGGAAGGATCCAATTTTTCCAGAATTTTATCACATTAACCCACACACCAAGGAGAATCACTAATCATCAGTAAATTCTGAATGTTTTCTCAACTCATGGAGAATTTCCTCCTGTTAACTGATTTGTTTTGTGAACCTCTCATTAAAAGTACATTAAAGCATCTGGGGTGGCTTTCACTTCATTTCAAAATCCATGACTTCGTCTTTTCTTCATATTATCTGGCAGATTGTATAAACATCTTCTTCAAGTTCTTTTAAGGAACTTTTCTATCTTTTGAGAAGCAAGTTTTTAATTAAAAATTTCTTTTTCAACTTAAAATGAAAATTATTTATTTTTTTGGTTAGGTTATATCTCTGGCAATTTCATACACTGATTCCTTTCTTCTTTTCCTCTTCCTTATCTCCCTCTTGATCCTCTCACCCCAGCCTCACACCCCTTCTCCCCACAGCCACTTTCCTAGGCTCATGACTTTTGGTCTTTCCTTGGCCCACTTCCTTTAGTCAGGGCTGTCAATGGCAACATCCACTGGAGACTATGGGGTCACTAAGGGATGGATGTACAACTGAAAGCAAAACTTTCCACTTTCCCTGAATGTAACAGTAGGAAATAGTTCAAGATGGCAGAGTGGAGAATTCTGTGCTTCTCCTCCACCCAGGCTTGCACTTCCCTAATTATATTCAAGGGAAGAAGGAACTACTCTATGAGAGTTTACCTTTCTTTCCATGGTATTTAGAAAACATCTTTTTTTAAAATTTATTTATTTATTAAAGATTTCTGTCTCTTCCCCGCCACCGCCTCCCATTTCCCCCCCCCAATCAAGTCCCCCTCCCTCGTCAGCCCAAAAGCAATCAGGGTTCCCTGCCCTGTGGGAAGTCCAAGGACCCCCCACCTCCATCCAGGTCTAGTAAGGTGAGCATCCAAACTGCCTAGGCTCCCACAAAGCCAGTACATGCAGTAGGATCAAAAACCCATTGCCATTGTTCTTGAGTTCTCAGTAGTCCTCATTGTCGGCTATGTTCAGCAAGTCGGGTTTTATTCCAGGCTTTTTCAGATCCAGGCCAGCTGGCCTTGGTGAGTTCCCAATAGAACATCCCCATTGTCTCAGTGTGTGGGTGCACCCCTCGTGGTCCTGAGTTCCTTGCTCATGCTCTCTCTCCTTCTTCTCCTGATTTGGACCTTGAGATATCTGTCCTGTGCTCCAGTGTGGGTCTCTGTCTCTTTTCATCACCTGATGAAGGTTAATATTCAGGAGGATGCTTATATGTTTTTCTTTGGGATCTCCTTATTTAGCTTCTCTAGTATCACTAATTATAGGCTCAATGTCCTTTATTTATGGCTAGAAACCAAATATGAGTGAGTACATCCCATGTTCATCTTTTTTGGGTCTGGTTACCTCACTCAGGATAGTGTTTTCTGTTTCCATCCATTTGCATGCAAAATTCAAGAAGTCCTTGATTTTTAGTGCTGAGTAGTACTCTAATATGTATATATTCCATACTTTCTTCATCCATTCTTCCTTTGAAGGGCATCTCGGTTGTTTCCAGGTTCTGGCTATTACAAACAATGCTGCTATGAACATAGTAGAGCATATACTTTTATTGTATGATAAGGCCACTCTTGGGTATATTCCCAAGAGTGGTATTGTTGGGTCCAGGGGTAGGTTGATCCCAAATTTTCTGAGAAACCACCACACTGCTTTAATGTAGTTGCACAAGTCTGCATTCCAACCAGCAATGGATGAGTGTACCCCTTTCTCCACAACCTCTCCAGCAAAGGCTATCATTGGTGTTTTTTATTGTAGCCATTCTGACTACAGAATATGTAAGATAGTATCTTAAAGTTGTCTTGATTTGCATTTCCCTGATCACTAAGGAAATTGAGCATGACCTTAAGTGTCTTATTGCCATTTGAACTTCTTCTGTTAAGAATTCTCTGTTCAGCTCAGTGCCCCATTTTATAATTGGGTTGGTTAGCCTTATACGGTCTAGTTTCTTGAGTTCTTTATATATTTTGGAGATCAGACCTTTGTCAGTTGTGGGGTTGGTGATGATCTTCTCCCAGTCAGTGGGTTGCCTTTTTGTCTTAGTGACAGTGTCCTTTGCTTTACAGAAGCTTCTCAGTCTCAGGAGGTCCCATTTATTCAATGAGGCCCTTAATGTCTGTGCTGCTGGGGTTATACGTAGGAAGCGGTCTCCTGTGCCCATGTGTTGTAGAGTACTTCCCACTTTCTCTTCTATCAGGTTCAGTGTGTTCGGACTGATACTGAGGTCTTTAATCCATTTGGACTTGAGGTTTGTGCATGGTGATAGGTATGGATCTATTTTCATTCTTCTACAGGTTGACATCCAGTTTTGCCAGCACAATTTGTTGAAGATGCTCTCTTTTTTCCATTGTATACTTTTAGCTCCTTTATTGAAAATCAGGTGTTCATGGGTTTGTGGGTTAAAGTCAAGGTCTTCTATTCGATTCCATTGGTCGACTTCTCTGTTTTTATGCCAATACCAAGCTGTTTTCATTACTGTAGCTCTGTAGTAGAGTTTGAAGTCAGGGATGGTAATGCCTCCAGACGATCCTTTATTGTATGAGATTGTTTTGGCTATGCTGGGTTTTTTGTTTTTCCATATAAGTTGATTATTGTCTTCTCCAGTTCTGTGAATAATTTTGATGGGATTTTGATGGCAATTGCATTGAATTTATAGATAGCTTTTGGTAGAATTGCCATTTTTACTATGTTGATCCTCAATACCTGTACTCCTTAATGTATTTCACAATATAGAAACAGAAGAGTCATTGCCAAATTCCTTTTATGAAGCTACAGTTACCCTGATACCAAAACCACACAAAGACCCAACCAAGAAAGAGATTTACAGGCCTATCTCACTCATGAATATCGACGCAAGAATTCTCAATAAAATACTTGCAAACCGAATCCAAGAACACATTAGAAAAATTATCCATTATGATCAAGTAGGCTTCATCCCAGAGATGCAGGGCTGGTTCAACATACGCAATCTATCAATGTAATCCAGCATATAAATAAACTGAAAGAAAAAAAACCATATGATCATTTCATTAGATGCTGAAAAAGCATTCGACAAAATTCAACATCCCTTTATGATAAAGGTCTTGGAGAGATTATGGATACAAGGGTCATACCTAAATATAAGAAAAGCTATTTATAGCAAGCCGACAGCTTACATTAAATTAAACGGAGAAAAACTCAAAGCCATCCCACTAAAATCAGGAACACGACAAGGATGTCCACACTCTCCATACCTCTTCAATATAGTGCTTGAAGTTCTAGCACTAGCAATAAGACAACATAAGGGGATCAAGGGGATTCGTATTGGAAAGGAAGAAGTTAAGCTTTCGTTATTTGCAGATGATATGATAGTATACATAAGCAACCCCAAAAACTCTACCAAGGAACTCCTACAGCTGATAAACACCTTTAGTAATGTGGCAGGATACAAGATCAACTCCAAAAAAAATCAGTGGCCTTCCTATACACTAAGGATAAGGAAACAGAGATGGAAATCAGAGAAGCATCACCTTTCACGATAGCCACAAATAGCATAAAATATCTTGGGGTAACTCTGACCAAGGAAGTGAAAGATCTATATGACAAGAACTTTAAGTCTTTGAAGAAAGAAATTGAAGAGGAGACCAGAAAATGGAAGGATCTCCCCTGCTCTTGGATTGGGAGGATCAACATAGTAAAAATGGCATTTCTACTAGAAAACATCTTATAGAGTAAATTTGAATGTCAATTAAGCAAACCCAGAAAACGTTATAAGTAAGTTAAAGGCTCCAAGATGACAGTACAGTGTAACCAAAGAAATACCATGCTATGGTCTGTGTTTTTCAGGTACCGTGGATCAATTCAGGATAACTGCAATTATATTCATCATTTTATTTCTCATTTCATGTATCATCAGTGCTTTTTTCTATATTTACTTTAAAAAGAAAAGGTAAGCTGTAGGACAACCTGTTGTGACAGAGACACTGGATACAATACTGCTAGATGGAAATACTATTTTTAAAAATTTCCAGGGGTTCTTGAAAAATCCGTCGTGCAGAGAGTAGTGAAAGAAAACTCATTTCCACATCCTTGACAATTTCTGAAATTGATTGGTTATACAAGAAGGCCATGGACAAGCATTTATGTTTTTGATGAATTGAGTGTAATATTCTTTTTTATTTTTTAGAAGGAAAAATTATTCATTATTATTTTATGTGTATGTGAATTTTGCAAGTGTGTGTCTGTACTCTACAAGTGTGTGTCTGCTGCCTGTGGAGGCCAGGAGAGAGTTCTAAAGCTTGAACTGGTTGATGGCAGTTGAAACTGGTTGCTGGGAGCTGAACCCTTTATTGCTGAGTTGACTCTTTAGCCCCATGTTTAAGACTCTTTATTGAGAACAGATTTTCACGGGAGACAGCAGAGGACTCGGGACAGTAGGTGCGAGGGAAGGTCTGAGTGTAAAAACAAGGCTTAGAAGGAAAGCCTGACATATGTGCCCCTGAGGTAGAGGGTGAAGCTGAGATCTTATCTTATAGGTTAATATAATAAAATGCCCACCCGTAGACAGCTCCCCTGGTGGACAGAGGTATATGATGGGGAGGAGATCAATGGAAATAGGAAAATCCTAGCCAGTGGCAGCAGGAACTATAGTCATAATTGGTAGCGTGTGATTTGTCTCGCTGTTACTATATATTCTTTAAATTAAAAAAGTGGTGGGGTTTTTATTCTGCTCCATCTTGATCCAGGGAAATATATAAACCAAGGAAGTGTGAGAATTTGATCTATAATCTAGAAGGCTCTCTCCCTGGGATGTGGAAAAGGCGCCTTACAGGACAAGAATGAAGGAGCATTTTGAAGAGACGGCTACAGTAGTCAGGAGACAGATGGAAACTGTGTAGACTGAAGAGGTAGAAAAGAGGAGGAGGGGTTAAGGTTCTATCCAGGATCAGAAGGCTTCCTGAGGAATGGGAATGGAGAATGAGGGAGAGGAAAGCATTATCTTACCCAAAGTGAGTGTTTCAGCAGTAAAGAGAACGTTCACAAATATGTACAGAGGGAAAGCAAGCTTTGGAGGGAGGATTAAGAATTCTGCTCTAATGTTGTCATTTTTAAATGCCTATCTTATACTTGAGGGAGTATGTTAATTAAGTATCAAGAGTATGAATCTAGGATTTGTGGAGCAGACGATAAATTTAGAATATAGATGATATGATCTCCATGGAGATAGTAGATCACAAACTATTGCTTCAAACTTTAATGTAAAAACAATAGGCCGGTTCTAGTATTTTGGTGAACTGCTCAAGAGAATTTGTGTAGCAATCTATCAAATTTTACTTAATAGCCTGCTCTTATAATGTGCTGTCATGGGAAGGAATGTTTGGTCAATATTTACTTGATTTCTGTAACATTGTCACGGTATCTCTAGGTCAGAGAACACGCCTGTCTCATTATCGACACTGCGGCCCGGACCATCATCAACAGAACCTGAAGGCTTAATAGGCCACCACCATCAGACAGGTATAAATGATAGTGTGCATTTATTTTTTCTGTCCCTGCATAGCATTTAAGTTTAAGACAAAGCATTCTAAATTAAAGCTTGCACTGGCTAGCAGTAATTGCCATTTTAAAAATAAGTGGAGAAAAATGTTTTATAATGTCATTGCAGGCAGCAGTAGATTCAAGTGGGGCTTTATTAATATTAATGTCTTTAAGTTTTGAAATTAAAATTAGATTTATTTTAACTGATACATAAAAATTAAAGATATTTATGGAGTACCATGTACATTTTGATAGCAGATTAAACGTATCTGCTTATTCAGACATTGATCAGTTTTTTTTGTACCTGAAACTTAAATGTTTTCTGCTAGGTTTTAAAGATATACAGCACATAACTCATTATCTATAATTACTTCTGGACATTTGCACAAAGAAGTCTCACTGACATCGAATTATAGCTTCGTCCTATTGATCAACCTTATCCCTCATACCCTCTACTAACCCAGACCTACTGACCACCACTCTACTCTCAACTCAGACATGGGTTTTGTAGATTCCGTACCTAGATAAGACCATGTGGTACTTTTCTTTACGTTTCTTGATTATTCTGCTTGACATGGATGAACCCCTAGTAACACCCACAATGCTGCACATGATAGAATTTCCTTTTTATGGGCGAATGATATTCACACGTTCACATGGGTTCTCACTCCACTCATCAGTTCTAGGCAGGCAGTAGCTTCGCCCTGCATCTGTTGTGACTAGTGCTACAGAGAACGTGGAAGTCCAGACATCTCAACATGAAAATTTATTGATTTCGTTTCCAATAATGGAACAGCTTGATCATGTAACAATTCTTTTTTTTTTCTTTTTGAGAACCCTTACTAGTGTGTTACATTTCATGTACAGCATGAACTGGTTCCATTCTCCACATCCACACATCTCTTGACTTTGGTACTTTAAATAGTAACTATTCTTCTGGGGTAAGCGGCCATCTTCTGGGCATTTCTACTTAAATTTCTGTGATGATTAGTGGTGTTAAGCATTTTCTTTCTCATATATCTATTAGCTATTTTGTATACTTCCTTGAGGAATGTCTGTTTAGGTTTCTTACCCATAAAATTTAGCAGCTTATTTTTCTTGAGTTCGTAAGCTCTTATAGGTCTTGAAATGCTAAACCCTTCTCAGATGTGGAGTTTGCAAATTTTTTCTTCTTTTCTGATGTTGGTCTCTTATATGGAATTGACGACTGTTTTCTTTCTGCGTTATCCAGCTTCCCTGGCACAGCATATTCTACATCACCAACCGTTCCCAGGGTCTGGGTGTGTGTCCTTATCACCTTAATTGAAAGTTTATCGCAGTGTCTCTGGTCTGCTGTGCTGATCTGTGAGTCTGTGTCTTGCAAATGCCATGCTGTTTTGATTAATTACTGCTCCATGGTACATTTTGAAGTCAGAAGGTGCAGTGGCTTCTGACAAGGGATGAGGTTTTGCTGTTCAGACACATTTGGGTTCTCTAGTTAGTTCTGAGTAGGATGTCTTTGAAATTGCACAAACTCTTTGCCTCACTTTCAGGAGTACAGTTATTTTAATGATTTTAATTCTTTGTATATCTTCAATGTGCATATCTTCTTTGATTTCTTTATTTGATAATTATTATTTTTTTACTACATAGAGCTTTTGGAAGGCTAATAGCTATTTTTAGTGTAATTTCTTCTTCATTATCTTGTGACATGTTTATTCAAGTCTTTCCTTTTTAGGAAAGCTCACATTTTTCTCTATGCATGATTTTTGAAATTTCTACTAATAGATTGCCTTGGTTCTTTTTATTTGTTCACTTTCATGAATGATACCTTATTTTTTAAGTGAAACCTTGGTGGCCTATTAGTAGCTAGGAAGATTTGTTGCTATTGTAAATTAATTTGTGTTTTGAATCCTTGCTAAATTTTACAGAAGCAAAGTCTTTAACTGATTCTGGTAATTTTCCATGCACATAGTCATCCCTCACACATCCTCTCTTGGCTAGTTTATATTAACTTCATACAAGCTAGAGTCATCTGAAAGGAGGGAACCTTAATTGAGACAATGCCTGCAGAAGGTATAACTCTTAGACATTTTCTTAATTAGTGATTGATGGGGGAGAGCTGAGCCATTTGTGGGTAGGGCCACCCTTGGGTAGGTAGTCCTGTGTTCTATAAGAAAACAGACTGAACAAACCATGAAGAGCAGGCTAGTAAGCTGCACCCATCCATAGCCTCTGTACCAGCTTCCTCCCTATTTGATTTCTTGTTCTGACTTCCTTTAATGATGAACTATGATGTGGAAGTATAAGCCTAATAAGCTCTTCTGTCCCCAGCTTGCTCTTGGTCATGGTGTTTCATCACAGCAATAGTAACCATAGGAACTATCACAAAGACAAATGCATGGATTTTCTTTTCTAAATTTATATCTCACTTTAATTCTAAATAACAGGTAAAGAAGCTTCTTTTTTCTCATTTTTGTATTTAAACATATTGTTTAATATGCCATTTAACAAATGCTGGCTATTAAGAATATTAGTATGGGTAAGAAATATCTTATTACTCTGATTATTTTTTCAAATTTTTATTATGAAAAGGAGATTGATGGTTGAAAAAAAACATTGTAAGTAAAGTGATCATCTGGCAGGCATGAAGACTTGAGTTCTATTTCTAGAACCCACATAAAAATGTCAGATATTAGTGCATGCATCTAGTCCCAATGTGTGCTGGAAAAGTAGAGACAGGGTTCCAACACGCACTGAAGATCAGCTGAGCCACCTAGCCTTGTGGACTGAACAACTACTAGATTCTTGACTTTCTTTGGTAAACAGCCATTGCCAGGCTAGCCAAACCACAACCTGTATGTTACTCTAAGAAAACCCCTTTATTTATCTATGTATACACTCATTCTATCAGTTCTGTTCCTCTGGAGAACACTGACTAAAACAAGCCGCATCTACTTCCATTTTAATATGCATATTTCACTTTATCATGTTTCTTGTCCAGCTTTTATTAAACTACATATTTTTTGCTAGCTTGAGGCTCATACTTATAAACATATGCTATAACAATTTATTCTAATCTCTTTAGTTATTTGCTAAAGACAATATATGTGCTCATTTTAATGCCGGTTTAAAAGTGCTTTCAAATATATAGCTTAGCATAATTCTCTCTACCTTTCATAATCATATTGTCTTATCTCCATTCTTTTTCATGTAGGTTTTTCTGAATTATTTAATATTTTATAGATGCAGAATTTACATAGTAATAAATTTTGTAGGTATTTCAGCTTTCCATATATCTTACAACATACCTATTGATTCACTTTTCCATTTATTTTGGAAACTTTTGAAAATGTTTTCAGTTAGTCTTGATACAATAAAATTTCTAAGTATTGTGTACTTATCTTTTTCATTCTATTACTGTATAGCTAAGTTCTTGAATCTAGTTCAAACATCTTAGCAGGTTAAAAGCAAAACAATGCCTAGGAAAATATTGTTTACCTGCTAATGAACTAATAAGAACAGAGAAAAGTTTATCATAAAATGATAGGAAGTTGTATTCCATAGCAAAATAAAAGGTAACCAAATAGAATGGTACACACACACACGTGCACACACACATTCATAAGCTTATGAAATGCCATCTATTAAAAAAGAATATTGGTATTACCAAAATAAGAATAACCTCTAAGTCAGGCATTGTGGCTCATGTCTGTAATCTCAGTGCTTGGAAGGCTAAGTCAGAGGATCAGGCTGATCTACAAAATAAGATTTTGCTTCAATTAACCTATCTATTAACCCACCAATCAACAACTTTAATTTGGAAGACAAAAAAAATGTCACTATGATTATTATATGTAAGCAGTTACAACTTAAGAGTATTTACGCTCTGGGCCTGCAGGAGACAGTGAGAAGGAACAAGTTGCAACTACATGCAGCACCAGACTTTCACACCTGCCCTTGGGTGAAGGATGCAGGCACAAACGGACGGATAGAGAATGCAGTACTCACATCAACCCATAAACAAGGAAGCCTAGGCCATGGTGTCAGGTATAGGCTCACCGTGGCAGATAGTGCGGCGTAGCGGGATGTGAGGAATGGGCAGAAGTGTGAAACAGGCTCTGTAGAGCTAGTCTTGTTAACTATTAAAAAAAAAATCTATGTTCTGTGTAGGCACCTGTTCAAATTCTTCATGCTCTGTGGATTCTGTTTTGAACAACTGGGCCTCAATGTGAATTTGTGAAGAACAACCTATAGTCTTGGCAGCAGCCTGGATTGTTTAGAGATTCCTATGGGATTCCCCTTGGCCAGCAGCTCAATTAGAAACAACCCAGTGAAGGATAGGAAACTTCACTGGGTGACAAAAAAATGAGCAACTGAGACTCTGTCTATCCTATTATTTGGCGATTTCATTTAGATCACCTTCACATATGTATATATTTTAGGAAGTTTATACTGTATTAGGCTTCCATAGTACCCTTAAATGCCCCTTATTTTAGGTCTGTCCTTGTATTCCCTTCCATAACCTCCTCTCCCCTCCCCTACACCAATTTATACTCCCATTCCAGTCCCACTCCATCTGATTCACCAACCCCTTTCTAGTCTATTTTTATTTCTTAACAAGATCTATTTATTCCTCAGTCCTTTACTCTATACCTATTCTCTGCGGTATTTTTTGATATCTAGTTTCTAATATAATTTTAATATTTGTCCTCTATCTGATGTGTAGTTGAAAAATAAAACCAACCACCACCATTTCCCATTCTGTAGGCTGCCGCTGTATATGAATGAAGGTGTCATTTGCTGTGAAGAAACTTTGCCGCTCTGTATGAATGAAGGTGTCATTTGCTGATATGACATGAAGCTTAAAGTTTCATGAGGTCTTTTTGTAGTGTAATTTCATTTATATTTTAATAAATAAAGCTTTCCTAAAGATCAGAGAATAAAACAGCCCACTGGTCAGCCTTACAGATCAGACAGTTGTAACACACACCTTTAATCTCAGTAGTCGGGTTAGTTTGCTATAGAAATTGGCAGTGCATGCCTTTAATCCCAACCCCAGAGAGGATTAAAAGACCGGAGGAGATAGCTCTCAGGCTCAGTATCATTTTGAGACTCCTGGAGGCAGGATTACTATTTTTTGGACTGAGGTTGAGCCTGTGGCTGGCTGTTTTGCTTTTCTGACCTTCAGGTTGAACCCCAATATCTGACTTTGAGTTTTTATTAATCATGCTACATCTCATTTATTAACTGTTGGTTTCACTGCCCATGTTTATGGCGTTCTGTTCAGAAAGTCTTTTCCTGTGCCATTGAATTCAAGGTCATTCCCCATTATAGACCCTCAACACCCATGTTCCAACATTTTTGATACCATAAATTATTCTGCACTCTACTAAAAGAGAAACTTACACATCAAGTTAGCCACAATCCCTTTACCTACAAAGGTGTATTTTCCTTGCAAGATGTGCTAAGGCCATTGTGGCACAAAGCTTTTAGGTGTAACCAACCAGAAACTGATTTGACTCCACAAGATGAAACCCATATGGGATACTGCTTGGGTGACCAAGACCCTGAGCCTAGATATCCCAGAGACTTATGGTAAAACTAAATAACAGTGTCCTACAAAAGGAGGGGGGATACAGTGATAAGATGACTCCTAATGGTATTCTGATATTTCCATAGATCAATGTCTTGCTCTGCTCAGTCATCATCATAAGAGCTTCCTTCAACAAGGTGGTAACAAATACAGAGATTCATAAACAGACATTTGTTTTTGGAGAGTGAGAGGCCTTTGAACACTCAGCCTTAAATGGAATGTCTCCATCAAATCCCTCCCCTCGGAGCTCAGATGACCCTGCGAAAGAGCAGGCAGAAAGAGTGGAAGAGCCAGAAGGGATGGAGGATGCCAAGAACACAGTCTCCTATATTAACATGAACAAAGCTTCTATGAACTCACAGAGACTGAGGTGGCATGGAAAGGGCCTGCATGGGTCTGCACCAGGTCCTCTGCGTATATATTATGGTTTCCAGTTTAGTGTTTTCATGGGATTCTTTTGTGTGAGAATTTGTTAGTCATATATATTCTTTTGGCCCCTTTTCCTCCTGGTGGCTTGTCTTGTTCACCTTTGATGTGATTGGATTGGCTTTGCTTTTTTATGTTTTGAAGAAAGTGAATGAATGAATGGATGAATGAAAACCTAGTTACAAGGGTAAAGGTTAACAACTCAACTGTCATTTATAGCTGCGGGGAGAGGGAAAGCAGTTTTCTCCAATAGTGACATACCAACCACTCCAGTGCAGGCTTCATGATCAAGAGTAGCTGACTAACCTATATGGACTCCATATATATTTCTTTTTGTTTTATTTTGTGTTGTTGGATTTTTTTTTTAAAAAATAAATTGTATGCTTCAATTTGGCTATAGTTTGTTGATTATTTCCTTTTACCTTTTTGGATGCTGTCTTGTTTTCTAGGATTTGTTGTTATATTGGGGTTGTGTTTTATGAGAAAGAACTTAAAGTTAGGCGGGTAGAGAGAGAATCTGGACGGACTTGAGAGAGGGAAAGGAGGGGATCAAAATAGATGTAAAAGGTGATGTAAATAATAAAAATAGAATAAAAAGGAAAAATATTACAAAGTAGAGAAACTAATTTAAATGCTGGCCAAATAAACATTTCAAATTGTGTACTTGTGACTTATAGCCTTTATAAAAGACACTTTTAACTTAAAAAGTCTGTAAAATAAGACACTGAGGTAGAAACATTCATAACAGATAAATTGAATTCAGTTTACTCCAATAGTTTGAAAATAGTGATTTGTTGGAGCTAGAGTTAGGACCAGCAGATAAGAATAGTTTCTACTCTTTCAGAGGACCCAGGCTTGATTTCCAGCACCCACATGGAGGTTCACTACCATCATATTTAACTCCCAAGACTATGAATGCCCTTTTCTGGCCTCTACAGAGACCAAGAATTTACATAGTACATAGACATACACACAGGCAAAGTAATATGCCTGCAGGCATCATACCACAGGACTCCTCAGAATGTCGCTGAGGTAGAAGACCCTTGAATTTTGGTGTCGTCGGGGTCCAGTGCTAGCCCGGACCATAAATTATTTCTCTCAACAAGACCCCAACATAAACTCTCTCTGACCAGCCTGGAGGCGCGGTAATAAAGACACAACTCACATGGCTTAATTGGGAGGGAGATTCTCAGTGGTCCCTCTTGAAGTCTTGAGTTCACATCTTGAAGAATTCCTCTCATTTATTCTCCAAACAGCTTTTATACCAAAACTTAAACTGAGCGGGAGGAAAACAACAGCATTCCGTCTCCTAGGTAACCAGGTGAATGGCATTTTGTCATGTCTACATGGACCTGTTTGCTGTGTATGCTAGCTATCACTGGCTTCATTCCTTAGAAATCAACGAAACATAGCAAAATAATCATGTGGTTTTTTGTTTGTAATTTCTCAATTTTTTATTTTATACATATGGGTGTGTCACAAGAGTGCCTGGTACCCAAGGATGCCCTAGAGACCATTATTCCCTTAGAATTGGTGATATAGAATGCTGTGATCATCCTTATGTGTGCTGGGAATCAAACCAAGGTATTCTGGGTATCATCCAATACTCTTAATTCCCGATATATCTCTCTAGACCCAGTTTTCTTTTTCTTCTTTCCTTTTTTTCTTTTTTCTGTCTTTTTTTTTTTCTTTTGGCTATAGGGTTTCTTATAGACAAGTGGTCCCTGGAACTGCCACCCATCTAAGTCTCAGGTTATCTGACTCCCCGTAAGATTGCTACAGGTACTTTAGAGTCTCTGTTATAGAAGCACATTTGTGTTTTATTCTGTGGGATTCTGTAGTGCCCAGTGCTAATGGTTTCTTTGTTCTGAGTTAACCTGTCATCTAGGAAGCTTGGGAGGAAAACATGACTGGTCCTGATGCTTGGGAGCCTCCTCCTGTTGCACAGAAATGAAGAAGATGGGCAGTAGAATTGCCCCTGCTACAGACAGAAGACAGCAAAGAGAAAAGACAAATGATGTCAATCTCAGTGACGAGACTGAGCACCTGGCCAAAAGGAAGAGACTAAACTTTAAAATGATTGATTTCTTGTTTGCCTTTGCCACATCATAGGGCTAAAGAAGAAATGGAAGATGTTTAATATGTGAATCTGTTGTCTTCTCTGACCACTGGTTCTATGAGCGAAACATGGATTAAACTCCTGGGAGTTGCCTATGTTCCAGAGAGCTGAGACCTAGTTACAGATCAGCAGACACAGGGAGACAAAACATTCATTCACGTAGGAAAGAAACAATAAATAAATCTAAAACAAACAAACAAACAAAATCTATAGGATGATTCTTCTACGTTTTTGCTCAGTTACTCTAACAGAAGCTAGGGCGAGAACCTGGATTCCTGGCAGGGGTGGGGACAAGAAGGGGAGGGAGGGCGTGTCCTCATCTGCATACAAGGCTACACTGCTGGCGCTTTATGTATGATTGCTAAATACCACTGCTGACAGGTGTTGCTACCTCCACAGTGGAGGAGCTCAGACCCCAAGAAGCTGGTGTCTAGCTGAGGCTCAGAGCAATGATGGGCAGTCCCCTGAGTGGAGTCTGGGATCGAAGGAGGGCAGAATGAGCTATTCAGAGCCTGTGACTTTCCAGAGCCTGCCAAGTCAGCAAGGGAGGCACAGGAATCTGATCCTTGGAGAAAGGATCTCCTGGACTTGGGACTGCCTAAGTGAACATGGGCCAGGAGAAACCCCAGGATCGCGGGTCCCACGGGGTGAGCGGCTTTGCTCCTGGCTGCAGATCCCACTGCGAGGAAAACATGGCTAGTGCGCAATGGCTCCCAGAAGGGGAAGGGTAGTGCTGGGTAACCCCTGTGTTGGTTCTTAATCTGCATCAGGGCACAGCCCAGTGATATTGCTGCTTGCTGCATTCTTGGCCCTTGCCTGGGAAGCCATGAAGCATCATCCAATAGTGCTGCAGCAACCTTCAGAAAGGATGTCAGCTCCGTGGTCGTGCTATATTTAGAGGGGGGCGACATTTTGAGTCTTCAGTACTGTTTACAAGAAAAATTTTTTAAAAGGATGGGTGGTCATAGGCCCTATTCTTTATACACACGAAACTAGTAGAATTGGGTGGAAATCTAAATGCAGTTAAAACCCAAGGTACTGTTTTCATAGGATTGGCAAGACCACAGGCCAGATTTTGCTTTACCTTTCTTAACAAAGAAGAATGGTGGTGTGTGAGCTGATGTCTTCTGCCCAGCAGATGCTCTTAATCTTTGAACAAGGAATTGCTTTTTTGTTTTACAAATAAACAGGCAGGTGGGGGAGGCTCATTTCTTCTAAGACCTTATGGCTGCAATGAAGATACCAATTCAGACCCAGGCTGTAATGAACATCCACCTTTTTGGTGAGAATTACAGAAGGATTTCTGTGTCTACATAATTGGCTTCACTAGTTAATTCTTGAATGGTTCATCTTTTAGCATCTGCTAAATTCTGGATACTGAACAGTTGTTTTAACCATGGAATTGTTACCTTAACCCTATGTTATGACTGCTGTTTTTGAAGCAGACAGGATCCTAGGATTTTTATCATCAGAATGCTATTGTAGATTTTTTAACATTTGCATATGCACAATGAGATCTCTTGGAAGTGGGGCCCAAGACTAAGCAGGAAATTCACTCCTCTTTCATGTAGATATCTTCTGTGCAGACCCTCAGATAATGGCATGATTATATAGTTCCTTTCAGTGACTATGACCATCACATAATGGCAGGTGTGGAATTTTCTATAGTAATATCCTGTCAGTACTCAGAAGTTTCAGATATTGAAGCATTAGGATTTTTCAGTTTGTTACCTATGCTTCATTTAACCCTGAGAGTGTACTGTCATCTTCCTCCAGGCTCCAGGGAGGTTAAATAACGTATCTTACCTAATGCATCTGCCATCCACTTTTGGCCTGGGTCTGCCCTGGTTAACACCCAGCAATTCCTTCCCCTTCCTGGGAAACAGGCAGCCATTATTCTGCATGGACCAGAAGAGCATATAAATAAATACTACATAAATTTTTGGCTGCTTGCCCACAGTCTCTATGTGGTTTTTTGTTTGTTTGTTTGTTTTTCACCATCCCGAGGCCCCACTCCTCAGTCTTATATATGCATCTGTTTTTTTCTTCTCACTCTAAAACACAGTTTATTTCTATTACAGAAACCAGATAATAATTTTCTTATTACAGCCTTTGTTAGGGCTTTGGTTTCATTGTGACAGAAAGGCAAAATATGTAAACAAAAAAATAATAATACGGAACCAACATACCATAGTCTATCCCTCTGATTCCCTTAAGATAAAGTAAAATGTGTTGAAGATAAATACTTAAAAATAAAGTAAAATGTATTGACCCTTGGCAACAGAGCCAGAGGATACATTGCTGGATTTTTCTAGCTCTCCAGTACCATAAGGAAGGACAGAGAACAGTCTCAGCAATATAAAGAAAAATTTTCAGAAGTCCCTAGGGCACTTCAGAGTTAAAGCCCATTCGAAGGTGCTGCCTATGAGGATGAAAGGGGGTGGCAGAACAGGTAATGTGGAGGCTGTATCCTTTTAAGAAGTTTGCTCTTTTGAATAAACCTGAATTTAATAATTTTGTTTGATTGGCTTATTACATCAGTATGGCAGGCATCAAAACCAGGGATTCAAAACTTACATATATGATCTTGAAAACATGCTTAACATATCTCCAAATTTTATTGTTATCGATGACTAACTACTAACCTATGTTTCCTTATTATCCTAACTAGTTTATAATAATAGTGTTCAAAAATTGGCACTTTGATTTACATTTTTAAGTGAACTGCATAAGTACAATACCTTAAACAAGAATAGAAATATAAATACAAAAATAACTTTAAATTAATATTAATACACTATCTTCCACTAAATGATATCAGGTATCTATAATCCAACAAGTAACCAAAGACCACTCACCCACCTTCAACAACTGGGAATGTGGGCATCATCTTCTCTAGACTGTGTCCTGCTGTCTGCAGGCAAAGGAATTTTTAGGGGTCCCTGAGAAAATTTGAGATAATGGCCAAGCACTGCAAGACTATAACCTTTTTTTGTTATATATCACTTGTCAAGTTTCATGTGGTCTCTCTTGTTCAAACCTGATCCATATTATTCCTGAAGGAATCCACAGCTTCTTGTCTCCTGTGGGAGCAAGGGCAAAAGCATTCTCCAAAACATTTTTAATCTCAACTTGAAAAATACATTTTTTACTTCTTTTTTAAAGTTAATATAGCTCTAAAGTATCTAGGTAGGATCAGTTCTCCAGTCCTGGTCACAAGCCCATATCTGCCAGCAGCTGTCTTTTACTTATTAGCAATCCAAAATTTCA